GCTAGTACGTCTAAGAAAGCCAAACTGCAATGCTAATGTTAACGTATCACTTCATACTTTCTCAGATTCTCCTGATTTGGTCTAAGAAAACACTGATGGCCCACACCTATATCATTTTGGGCGCCAAAAATATAAAGACCACATTTTCCACATTTTCTGTTTAACCCTTTCCCCCTCATACCATGCAAGTCAAGGGACAATTCCTCAGCAAAGGAATCTAGAACAGTTGCCTCTTTTACAGCCCTAGATTCCTCTCCCTCACCAACAATCCTGTTTGCCCATTATTGCCACGAGAACTTCCTTTGTAATGCAATCAGATGGGATCCTGCCCCCTTCCGAAGATGCTAAACAGCCCCAACTCACTGATAATGACCATTACTACTTTGTCTTACTGTCCCATTATCAAATAGGTATCTGAGATGTTGTAAAGAGCTCTAATAAAAGTAACAGAATATGATTTTGAGTCAGGAATAAAGGGCATGGAATAGTAATTAAGCTCAATCACCACTGTTCAAAAATATTTTTAAAAATAAAATACTTTGTATTTCCCATCCAGTTATGTAATACTAATTCCTTTGCAATGAACGGACAAAGAGCTCCAACTTAACAACTGACAGGGAAACTAACGGAATCCCAAGAAATCAAACAAACAAAAGTTATTTTACAATCAGTTTCTAAAAGCTTTGATTTCATGATGGCCAGTTAACCCTGGGAGTTAATCTCAACCTTTCAAAATTAGCTTAACTTCAAACTAGGTAAACAGGAAGTGTTTGCAAATGATTTTACACTACTACTGTGCAAGTCTTGTTAAATAGAGTCACATAAATGTTGGATGATTTTTAAAGCCACATGTCCTTATAATAATGTTATGAGCACAGCATTGATCTTCTTACATACAACTATATAAAGTCCTGGGATTTGTTGCTTTAGAAGTATTTCAAACAAAAAACTTCGAGCAACTAGAAAAATGTAGATGCACCCACACATACCATGAAAATTATAACATACAGTTTGCTGGCTTGCTAGAGCTTGCTATTTTTGAGCACAGACTGGATAAACTAAGTAATTGCAAATTCAAGGTTTTAAATGACAATTTAAAGCATGGTGTTCTAAACCTGGGCTTTCAATGTGAACATTGGTAGTTTAAAGACTAAGTCTTAAACTACACTTCTGTGTGGGCTGCAAGCAATAATACTACAGTGGAACTTTGGAAGCACCGGCTCTTTGTTATAAATTAATCTGAATCTGCTTTTTTACCATGAGCATAGTTCACCTTTTTTAGACAGCACTAGTCATCAGTGGAGTTTGTGATTAGAAAGTTGTGTTTAAGATAGATACACTAATTAAGAGAAGAGCAACAATTTAAACTTACTGAGTTGCAGCATCCCAATTAGCATCACAGGCACTGGACCTGTTTCAGGAGGGCACTACTAAAATGTGTAAATGCCATTACAGTCAATGACAGAAGCCCATTATCAAACTGACTCTAGCCCAAATTGTAGCTATTGATGGAGCTGACATACCAGCTTGCCAACAGTCTTCGAACTAGCCAGTTTTTTTTTGCTAGAGCAGTTTTTCACCACCCTAGTAAATTTATCAGCTTACCACAAGGTCAAATGATCACTGCAGCCAACACAAGGCAACATGGCTGGAAGTAAAGGAGGTTGTGGCTTTACAAAGCTCAAGTCCAAATAGAAACCAAGATGGCTGAGACTTTCTGATCACAGTTCTGAAGGGTAGATGCAGACAGAAACACTGCAAAGCACAGCATGCAAAACTGGAGTGGGACCAGAGTTCAACATGCGTTGTGGCCTTTTCCTGATATAGCCCCATCCACTACTGTTACGTGGACTTGCTGTGCTCAAACAGGTAACATTGAGTATTACATGTGCTACCAAGGTATCCCATAAAGCTGCATATTATCAGGAAGTACAAGAACAGAAAACCCTGTGAACTCCAGCCTAACATATTTTAAAACGGAAATTAAGAAACAAAACAGCTGTACTAGAAAAAGTAATGGCCACGATTTAAACGTGCGCTGGTCCAAGCAGGTATAAATGTAAGCTTAGAGGTTAACTTGTTGATGTATTTACTTCAGGAAGAACAAGCTAAGCCAAGATGAAGCAAATAATGCAATTACGGTACTAAACTTCTTGCCTCTTAGCACTATGTGCAACACTCTTAGTATCTTACACCAATCATTCTTCTCGTAACAGTTGCTAATTGAGAGCTGGATACCAGGGCTGACTCTATTATTATTCTGCTACTATTCTACTTACTCCTCTTAAATTGCTCTGTCAGGCTTCTGTCACTTGAGACGAGTTCCATTATAAGAGACATTAGGTGTATTTAGGTATTTGCCAGATAATAGAATAAAGTTCTTAAGCATCAATCCGTACAGATTAGTCTAATCTGTTGCTGCTGGAAACCTTATTTCCAGCAGTAAAGTAGACAATAGTTTCAAATTACCTACAATAAGGTTAAGCTATGGGCAATATATGTTTTGAGGTGAGAAAAAAAACATAACAGAACTCATTCATTCCCAATATTGTCTTTACCAGATCAGGTAGGTATCTGAATTGAGATTCTAGTTTCTCTAAAAACTATTCCTAATGGATTTGGCTCCATTTAAATTGCTTTATTTGTGAACATTCTCTTAAGTATTTCTAAATGCAGAATACAACAGAAGCTCAGTAATGCTATTTCCTGAATCCAAAGGATGAATAATTAACTTTTAAATATTTGATAAGAATTTGTTTTTTTCTCACAAAAATAGGATTTCCATGAGCAAAGTCAAACAATTAAAGATTTTAATGAAGGCAATAAGCCCATGAAGTTAAAGACAAAATGGCAAATACCTGTAGTCTGGTTCTAAGGTAATGCAGCTTTTCAGTAATACTTTTCAGAAAATAAAGAAATGTTTTTTATTTAAATAAATCTCCAAAATACCAGCTAAGGACTTAAATCAGATTATCCTTCCCTTTAGTTTTTTCTAACATAAGACTACATAAAATTGTTTTCTATCACCCCTTTTCTCAAACCTACCTTCAAATCTATAGGACAGCAGATATCATGGGTACAAGCATCGAGAAAGGAAGAGCAACACTGGGTTTATTCATAACAGGTACAATGTTACCATGTAAAAACCTAAACTACCTGCATTTTGCAATACCTGGCAGAAAGTCAGCAAAGCTACACTGAGTCATCCATTATAACAACTGAAATGTAGAGATGTGCGCTAAGAAAGAGTACAAACTGAAGAAACAGCAGAGCATGTAAGAAGAGAGATAGGAATCAAAAACTATCTGGAAGCAGTAGAGACGGATCTTTACAATTTTAACACCTACCTCTTCTAGAGACTACACTGCAGCAAAAGTAACATGCCAGGAAAAACAAAAGAGAAAACCAACCAAAAAAAAAAACCCAAACCCAAAGCAAACCAGTCTGTTGTCATTTTATTATTGTTAAACAAGAAAGTGCAAGTGAAGAACACTAAATGTATGTGCACTACTAAAATGCTGAAAGAACTGATGGATTATTTCCCCACGCACTCCCCCTTTCCATTTAACTATTATTAGCAATGATAGGTTGATTTCTATGTCCTCAGTGTCCTAATGGACCTCATAGAAGCTGAGTGTCTGACTGCAAATGCGCCCAGTGGCTAAGGTATATAGATTGAGGATTTTGGCTCAAATTCTCCCTCCACGGAATTTTGAAGTACTTTGTATAAAACTGTTTCCACAAGAAATCTGAAAACCAACACGACAGCTCAGTGGCTAGGCAAGCCTTCAGTGTGGGATGGTTAGTCTGAGATCTCTACTCTGAATCAGATAAAACAATCAGATAAGCACACATGTAATTTCTTCTCCCCAGTTTTCAGAATTTTTCCCCATGTTCTTTTTTTATTTAATCAGATTAAATTATTCAGTTCCCTTTGGCCACTGTAAATACAGTTTTGGCTCAAAATAAAACTTATTTTTCAAGTCACCTGAGTGGGAAAATGCAATTAACCAAGCTTTGTATCTAAAATTGTGGGATTTATGGGTTCTTTCAGGTTTACAGATTGCAATATTATTTAAAGTCAGTGTTTCTGCTGAACCATCAGCCTAACACAAAGCTATTTTTTCTATAGACAGCTGGGCCCATGTAAAATATATCTCTAGTACGAAACACAGGCTGGAGTCTCATTGAAGGACACCAGCACTTGAAGCAAGTGCTTAAAGCTCTGCTGAATAAGGAACAGTGTAATGTTCTTGCACTGTATAAATACTTACAATGTTTTCCTACGTCATGGACATAAAGAGTTGGTTTTTTTTTTATAAGGACCTCTTTAAGCATATTACCTTCAGGCTGAATAGTAAATATGAGGATAACTAACTTTCAAATACTGTTTCATAAAAATTAATTCAATCCCCCAAAATTAACAATGATCTGGATATCTCATGTGGTCCCAACTGATACGATCCTGTGAAACGCTCACTCTGTCACTTATAGATACTAGGGCAACATCCACAACTTATACTTTCAAGAGCAGAGATAACCAAGTTGAAGTTTTGAATAGGCACATAGCTTAAATTAATTAAAATATGATATTTAAAAAGTTATCATTTTCAGCTTCTTTTAACCAAAGAATTGTTCAAGCTGAACAGGCAGCTGAATACTCACCCTTCCATTTGAGATCCTTTTTCTAAAAACCATGTTCGTTATGAAAACTCGCATGCTCTCTATAAATTAGCTATTTGAACTCCAATGCACAAGGTTTCAGATAACATCTGTTTTGCATATTTTGTATTTCAGACTTTAAACACAGTTTTAAAACCCATGAAGTTTTGTTCAGTCATCTCCAGTTAAGCTGTAGTAACTTGCATCAGCTGAAAATCTTGTGCAGCCTAGGGTTTGGATTTTTTTTAACTGCAGAAATAGCTACACCTTTCTGAAAATATTTACTAAAATATATGGGAAAAGTTAATTTTTTCTACAAAAAGTAGATTAGAATAATATTTCAAGTATTTACAGTTTATTTGAATGAAAATTATTATAAACTTTGAAATCTTGAGATAATAATTCATAATTAATCTATCATAATTACTTAATACAAGCTATGAAAACTCCAACAATTCTTCATGTTGTATTGTAGTACAACAAACCATCCTTCCTCCTACTCCAGCAGGCTGGAGGTAAAAGTGGTTTTTGCTATTAGAAACTGAGATTCCCGGTGTGATCTTTTCAGCTTTGCACGACGGTTCTGGAACCAGATCTAAGGTTGAAAGAAAAGGCATAGCTGTTCAGCAATACAGCACTTCAGCAAAATAACCTTTGAAACTTAAAAGATATTCACATAACTTCACAGTATTTTGTGTAATGACAGTAGTTTGGAAGTTCAGTACAATTTTTAAAGCTGCAGGTGAAGGGATGTGGCTACCTGCAGTCATTTTAACACAAAGAAAATCCCCCCCATCTTAACTGGAAAGCAAGGACCAGCTTCACTGTAATTAGTATTAAAAACTAATATTAAGTGACACTGAATCAGATGCTGAAATTCACACACAAGTCTTAAGGTGTTACTTCTTCAGCTCTTTAATTAACCTCATCAACCCCAATATAATACTGGCATCAAAAGCTTAATAAACATGAAGGTGAGGCCCAAATTCTCATGTTTATGGTAAGCTTCTTATCATATTGGACAACCTGGAAATCAGGAATTAAAATCCCCAAGCAGACTTTGGTTTTGGCCAGATAAGACATAGGCTCAAGCACTGGTTTCACTCATGAATGCTCTGACAGTCTCACAAAATACTTAGACATTCATACAAATTATTTCAATATTTGTTTCAACTTTGTTTTTCAAATATGGTGACAAGTGTAATATGAACAAGATTTGAAAATGTAGAATCATCCAGTCAAGTTCTGCACATGGTAACTAGAGATTAACAGAGCAGATATCATGGAAATACTAGTGATTAAAACTTCATCAACACTGAGGAAGAAGGTTTAAGATTTCTGAAGTAATTCAATGGCTTCTGTTTCACAAATCACTGAAAGCATACACGTGTAGACACACATTGTTTTAAATCAAGATTATTAAAATGATTGCTACTGCTCTCAAACTATTTATTTCTATAATAAGAGTAGATGAAATCAGAGAAAAGTTCAAATAAATTTTTAATTACCTGGATCCTGTCTTCATCTAAATCTAACTTGCGAGCCAGCTCTTCTCTAATGTCAATGCCAGGGTAGGAGTTCATTTTGAAAACATTTTCCAAGACTTCAATCTAAGAAGATTAAAACACACACGTTGAATAGTTATCACTACCTACATAGCAGTAATAAAACAGTTTAGTTTGTTTAACAGGAGACTTCCCAGCAATGTTTGCACAATTCTGGTTCCATGCATAGACACAGGTCTCCTGAAAAAACATTACTGTTAATATACACTGATTGCATTTCTCTCTGCACATCACACTGAATTAGGCAGCTATTATAGGCTTCTACCAATGTTTTACTGAACTACATTGTCATTCTTTTCTTAAATGCTGAGAAAATCCCTACCTGGTTTCTAGTGAATGCAGTTCTTGGTCTTCTACCCCTGTACCAGCTCAATTCCCGTTTGAAGGACAGCCTGTCGGTGACTGAAAGATATTTTTCACATTTCAGAACTTTCTCCTCTTGCATTGGATTACTGTTAGCATGAAATAATGGATTTTCATAGCAAACAACGGGGATTTGCAGACGGGGATTACTGTCATCACCTAAAACTAGAGCAAACAAGAGTTTCAGTTTACTGGGATTTAGTAGAAACATGAAAAGATACCCAATTTTAAGGGAGTAAAAGCTTGAGAGCCTGCTGACTTACCCAAGTTGGTGCATGCATCCATCCATGGTCTGTGAGGTTTCACAGATGGAATACCATCTTTTTTCTGCTCCAGTCCCAGAATGCTCTCAATGGAAAATGAACACTGTGTGGGTTTATTTTCTACAAAACCAGACCCCTTCCGAAGGTTCTGGGAGGCAGCTGTGTTAGCAGCACTCAGCGAGGTGCTTGCCATGCCTTCACCTTCAGCCAGCACAACAGGTATACTGTACTTGCATTTCTCCACCAGTCCTCCTTATAGCTATGCTGAGAAGGGGGTTGGATTTGCAACGTCATTAATTCAAATCTTTTATTAGAAAGTTTTAGCATGTCAATGCAAACTCTGCCACCGAAAGGCACGAGCAGTTAATTGTTTATTTGTTTGCAAGTAATTAGCAACTAATGGTGACACTGGGGGGCCACCAACAGGGACAGAAAGTGTTATCTCTCCTAACCAGAGCATCGACTTAACTTTCCCAAAAGAAGCTGTGCACAAATATAGTACTTCTCTTTTATTTGAAATCATTAATGTATAAAATCAGTTTTTAGAAAAACTTTATACTCTAATGGACTCCACTTACCTAAACACAGCAGCGTGATAGGAAACCAGTCAAGTAATAAGTAATCTCATTTAAGTGAATTTCCTTCCAAGGAAATTTAAAAAATAATCTCTTAATGCTATTAGGGTAATCCCGATGAAAATGCCTCTGTTTTTTCATATGCATATGTAATGGTGAACGTGGTCAATAAAACAACAATAGCTTTTGGCATAAGGCACCTGCAGTGGGTTGGGAATGTTGTCAAAGCTCAGTGTAATTGCCTTCCAAGTGCCTGGATTAGTTAACAGGAACAGTTGCACCAACTATTTTAAATAATTCATGCATTCATTTTTCCTATTAAAATAACTTTCTTGCAGCTTTTTTGAAACATACCATATGTGAAATTTCCTGGTCATTCTTTACAATATAAAAACAAAACTTAAAGCAATAGAAGCAGTACACTCAAATCTACTGATTTTAAAACCTCTTTTTACTGCTAGATATTCCTCCCTTCTTGTAATTTTATAACCAACAAAAATGTATTTAAAACCTACTGTGTGAACACTTAAAATGACTAAAAACCATGAGTAAGGGGGAGAAAGGAGGTAAAGGTTTTGTAATGAAGTTCAAAATTGGAAAACAGAATTCTGATTTCATCCATTATAGATAAAGTACCAACTAAAACATACCCAGACTCTCGCATCAGGCACAGTAGTTTATATGTCACATGTTTAAAACCAGCTTTTGGTCAAGCAAAACATCTCTGCAGAGATTCCTCCTTTTTCTTATTTTGGACAAAGCTTTATTTTGTAACATGCAAAAATGAGAAGCGTATTTTTAATTCCAAGATGCAAAAGTTATCTCTCACATAAAACTTAATTTGGAGCACATGATGTAGGAGCACAGGAGCATGTAGAAGTGTGTGCTTTCAGAGCAAAAATACGGCCCTCTGTTTCCTGTTTTACCGTTTTCTCAGACTAGTTTATTCTGTGTAATCAGTTACATTCACATGGCTGAAGAAATAAGCTGTACCTCTGCTTTGATTTTCTGTACACTGTAAACAACCCAAGACTAATCTTGAGGAAAAGACAGAAGCAGGACAATTGCTAAGGAAATGGCATGGTCTAGAATTGACAGTGTGCTGTGGGAGATTCCACAGAGAAAAAAAGGCAATCCATATGTGGCTTTATATCAGAAAGATATTCAAGCTGATGAGTGTTGACTTACTGGACTGATTTTGCACTGTGCAATGAGATGGTTGTCAAATAAAACTATCAAAAACGGTGACAATTCATAAGTGATCTTACCAGGGACACCTTCTTAGCACATACCAATGGATATAAAAGTGGCATCAATGTAACAGCAGTGACCACCCATAAGCTGAGCTCCAATCAGCATTTACCAGCCTCAGCAACCAGGAAGTGCATACATATAGAAAGGCCACAAGGACCTATGTATGAAACCACTGCTTGCTGGAACGTTTTGGGAGCTGGAGGTAAGTGGGGAGCAGTGTTAAGCAAGGGCCTTACAGCCCTTTCTATTTCAGTACAGCTGTTCCCAACACAGCAACCCATGACCTTGACAGAGCTACAGGACCTCTTTTCTTGACTGCAGGCAGGTATTTTGGATATTCTGACTCCACACCAGGTCGAGAGAGTACTAAGACAATGCAAAGCCATGATTGGTAGACCAGTTTTCTGCCTCTACAAGTCTCTAACATGGACACCAGGGTGATTAATGATTATAATATAAATAGCTAGTTTCCAAATACAGCCCACTAATTTTTCTAAAAGAACTTAAAACCCCAGCACAAGCACTGATACAAAACACATTTCAGAAAATATTTATTTCTCCTGGATGAATATGAATGAATTTAACCTGAGCTAAGACTCAGATTACCACACACTTCAAGCCCTGCAGTGGCAAATACCTTCATAGGTATTCTCTTCAGGAACCTGTCAAGAACTATCAATAAAGGCAGGCATATGTAGTAAGAGAGACATTTATGAGAGGCAAAACTAACCATTAAGTTAAGCAAGTATTATATATTTTAATATTATTATTACTATTTTATGGAAAAAGAATTCTTCAGGGTAGTCCGCTTTTGGCTCCCAGTTTGAAACTCTGAAAGAATTCAGAGGTTTTTTTTATAACTTTTCAGGGAAAACAGATCCTGGTAGCACTCAGAATTTTCATAAACTAGACCAAACCCAGTTAACTCATTTGCTGGGCAAGGTCAGACACTGACTGCCATCTGGTGTTAGGGCTTGCCAGATCTTAAGCTCCTTCAGCAGTGCTGAGAAATGTGTTATCATTAAAATAATATTACATTAATTTGCTTAATGGTGAATTTAGTCAGACCTGGAGACTGCAATGCAGTCACTGAAACATACCAACACTCCTCATTTTAAACAGAGTTTGTGGCTGTAACTGCATATAGAACAGGAAGTAGGAACTCAGAAGGTCATAAGATAGACTCTCACATTATGCTCTCTCATTTCTGAGCAATTCAATGAAATTGGTAACGCCCTTTATCTAAGAGCTTTACAATGCTAACACAGCTCTACATAACTGTTCATAAAAAACTCACAGGAAAAGTTATTCTAAAGATAAGTCTGCATTACACCAAAATTCACTTGTGTCCCTCAGTCTTCAAGCTCAGGCTGGATGGGGCTTTGAGTAACCTCATCCAGTGAAAAATGTCCCGAAGTGGGGTTGGAATTAGATGATCTTTAAGGAGCCCTTCCAACACAAGCCATTCTATGATTCTAAAACAACATTTATGTAGAGATAAATTCACTAGCAAGTCTGGCTGAAGGTCTAGCATTCACAAGTTGCCAGCTTTCCTTGAAGCATGCTTAGTTGTAGAAGAAATCTATTTGCTATCAAAATAAACAGTCACCAAAGCTTTCTGTAAGAAATCAGGATGAAAGTACATTTTCCACAGTGCAGAAAGCATAAAGTTTTAGATCTAAGAACAGCTGGCAGTGAAATTTCCAAGAATTTCCATAGAAAGCGTAAATAGGCCTTGAGCCTTCATTCAGAAACTATATATCATTGTTTTGGCCCATTAGGTATGACCAATGCTTCCTTTGCAACCCATATGAAATTACCTAGCGAGTTAAATACCATTGTAGGGGCAATTAGAGCAACACAACAAACATTAAGTTGAAATCCTAAGTAATCGATAATAGGAGAAATCAGTGCTCTTTGGATATGCAAATCCAATCCTCTTACAGCATCACATACCTGATGACACAGCAAACTAATCTCTCTTTCAAATGTTGCACCACTGTTTTTTTGCCCAGGGACAGTAGAGTTCATCTGTTTAAGTAGGTGAAAAGCTCTTGTTCTTTAGAGATGTGAAGCCTCTAAAGACTCTGTTTATACCAGAGTAGGAAGAGACCACACCAAGAGTTCTTGGGGTCTGAAACCCCAATGCTTACTGCTTCTACCTTTTGCTGTTCTCACCCATTGCTACTCCACTGCCACATCACCTTTTCACAGTGGCTTGTGCAGTATTTTCAGCTTTTTAAAAAGGTATAAAGGGTATATACAATCTTTCTGGATTACTTATCATGCTCAAGAAAGCTGCCTTTCATCTCACTTTTCCAACAGCTTCTTTACCCTGCTGCACTAGTATTTAACCACCTCAGATATCCTCCCTTTCAAATATGATTTGAACATGAATAACAGAGATTATATTTAAAGCCAACTTCAATAATCGAAAGGTTTTTTAGGCAAGAATAACTCAAAATGATTAATCCCCAATTTTCACAAAACATGACTAAAAACAGTTAGCTATTTCTTGGCTGAAGTAAATGCTATTTTTACCCAGACAGATGAAGTGGGTACAGAGAAACTCAAGGTAAATCCGAGGGTGGCACTAGCAACAGTCTTAGAAATGGTATGTTAAACAGCAGGTAACATGCAAATAAAGCCTACCTTATCCAGACGACAGCTTCACCCTCCAGCAGAAGCAAAATCTTCTTTCCATTAGGGGACACATCTGGAATTTACTAAAGAGTCCTTGGCTGCTCTTTTCCCTGTTTACATAGTGCCAAGCGTTAGTCCCCCACATTTTCAAGGCCTCTTAGTATTCTCTAGAAAGAGAGATGAAAAAACAAAACCACCCCCCAAAGAAAACCACCCAATCCCACAAATCCAGACCCCCAAACAAATAAATACATCACACAGCAACAAAAATCCTGCAATGCTGAAAAAAGCGTGACACTAAAACTACACTTATCAGAGGGTTCAGTGGGATTCTTCAGTTCATTACTATCAAGTCTCATCTGCTGCTGTCAAATTTGTACCTCGAAGCTTTTGGATGCCTTTAAACATTTGTTAAAAAAGTACACAAAAGGTGAGAACCAGCCTAATAATATCTTAAAGAAAGCTTCAACACAAGGGTTCTATTGACAAAGCTGACTACTAATTCAGAAAAGCCCTGGTATACTACTGAATTATTACAAAGATCCTCGTCATGCTACTAAGCCAAACTGAATTGCGAAGATCAATAAAACCAAGACTCATGTTTATGTTATGTGCCAGCTAAGATACCAAAGCATATTTCTACATCTTAAAAATATTTGGCTTTGTGTTTCCTTCTACAAAACCATTAATTCTCAGAGAGCTGTTCTCTATTCATAGCAGCCAAAGAAATGTTTGGGTTTTTTTCCCCTATCACTTACACCTGTAAATATACAAAACTAACAAAACCCAATTCCTTTTAAAGTTACTACCTTCCTGAATTCTGCTAGGGAAATGCATCTTGTAGAACAAAAGAGAGCATTTCTTACAGAACACCCCAGTAAAACTTACAAGTTAACTGTCTCAAAACCAGAAAGCTATGCATATATATACCTAGGTCATGGACCCATGCTAGTGTTCTCTCACGTAATAATTTCAGATACAAGACTTAGTCTTTAAAATACCTGGTACAATAACTCAGAGACAGGGAAAGAGAGAAGTGGTGTGACTTGTCTCAATCAGGAGTCACCAGCTGAGCTGCTAAATAAACTGACTGAACCAAGCTGCATCTTTCGTCACCACTGCCTCTTTCGTCACCACTGCCTACAAAAAAACCCAAACCTGAACCAAACACGCACCCCTCCTGTCCTTTAATTGTTTTGTAATTTAATACAAGCCTTTTCCTGCTTTTAAATGCAAAACATGATCCAGTACATCATAAAGAAAGGTCTCTATAGCAATACTGCACAAGAGTTAATTATTTGCTTTGCCAGATGACTTTGTATACTTTCTAATCTGGCTTTATACTAAGTTCACCTAGCCCCCAAACAGCAAAACCAGCAAAGAAACAGCCTCTTCTTCTTTCTTTTACTGTTAAAAAAAACGTATCTAAAAAGTTACAAATCATCTATTAAAATGCAGAAATTAAGTATCATCAAGTAGTTTCAGCGTTGAACTAGCTTTCAATTTCAAACACGATGTACAATTTGTTAGTTTTAAGAGCGAGAACTTTATGCAGCCTCTTGTTTGACACACAGTATATTTTAAACTGGTTTTAAATGAATAGAAATTTAGACAGATATTCTTGATGAGCAATTTGTACATACTCAGTGCCTCCTAAGGGATGTACTCTTAAAATATGAATTGCTTCATATGCAGGAATAATGTAAAGTACAGTAACTTCCGTCAAAACATAATTACAGAGGACAACTGAGGAATATGCTCTTTTTAAATAGCTTACAGTGATCTGGTCCAATTCCAATGAGCCCTCACTGTAGTTTTAAGCATTTAAAATTGGTCACAGACCTATAGCGGCAAACTTCACTAGTCTAACACAATAAGGAGTCTATTAGAACTGATTATACTCTTGGCTCTGAAAGGGGAAAATTGCGGTCGGCAAAGTTTCTGGTTTTAAGACCGGAGCTTGGGTCACCTGGTCGTTCTGCGGTTATTATCTGGTAACAAAAACTACAGGGATAGAAATATTGCCTTAATAAAATCCCTCGTGGATGGTAATGAAAGACACGACAGAGACAACAAAAGGCTTCGCCCAAGGGATGCTGCAGGTGACAGCCAAGGGTGCAAAGGGCGCTCCTGTCAGGGCAGGATCACCACAGTTAGCCCCACTGTGAGCCGCCCTCAAGACAATTGTCCTGAGAAGCCTGCGGCACCAGGACAAACGGGGCGAGTTGGGCGCAGGGAGCTGTAACACCGAGCCACCTTTCCTGCCTTTTCCCAGCCGCCGTGCTTGACAACCTCAGCGTGCAGCCGGCCCTGTCCGTCCGGCCCGCACTCACCTCCCCGCGCTGCCTCAGGCCGCCCTTCTCCCCTCCCCGCTCTCACGGAGCGCGCGGCGCCTCACGCGGCCGCGCCTCTCTCCTCCAAGGGGAGCGCGCGAGCCCCGCGGCGGGAGCGCCCCCACTCAAAGGCGCGACGCTGCCCTCAGCGCCAAGAGTCCCGTGCTCGGGCACGGGTAAACAGGCGCCGCAGCGAACCAATAAGGAGCCGCCAGGCTGGGAGAGAGAGCCAATAGAGAAGCCAAGCGGGGAGGGGGGGCGGGACATCCGGCGCGCTGCAGGCGGGGGTGGCAGTGTTGTGGCTGGGCTAGGGGCAGGGGAGGGCAGGGCTCGGCTGGGTGCGGGAGGTGGAGGTGCGGCAGTGGCGGAGTCAGCCCGGCCGCCGCCATGCCCGGCATTGACAAGCTCCCTATCGAGGAGACGCTGGAAGACAGCCCCCAGGTGAGGCAGCCCAGTGGGGGGCGGCCAGGGCGGGCTGGGCCTTCTCTGCGCCCTTTTCGCTCCCTGCTCCCGTGTACCGTCGGGGGATGTTGGAGAGCCGTCGCAGCGGCTGGGGAAGCCCTTCCCGACAGCTGGGCGGTGGGTGCGCGCGTGGCCAGGTGCCTCCTGTCGCCTTTCCCCGTGTCCGGGGCGCGGGGTCGGAAGCCGCTCGCTGGGGCTGCCCGTCTGACAGTGCCCCGGGAGGTGCGTCCTCCCGGCTGCCCGGCTGGCGGGTGGGCTTGGCGGAGCAGCGAGCTCGGTGCGGGTTTTCCAGAGGCACTGGGCTTCGGCGCTGGGGTAGTGGCTCGGCCTCAGTCCCTTGCATCAGCACCCTGCGTCTGCTGTCATGGTTTGTTTTGTAGAACTCATGCTGGCAAAACCCGTCTTCGCTTCTCAAGACGATCTTTCTTATCGTTGTCTTTTACTGAGCACACATGAAGGTTCAATAGATATGTATGAAAAGCAGTTATCGGTGAGGTTATGGTGGCGGTTGTTAGTGCTGTGAGTAGGTGGGAAATGAGTGGTGCTGAGAGGCCTTTACCTGCTCTGATGTCTTCTCTTCTATTCCTGCTGTTTGACCTTTGTCAGTGATGCCATACATTGCACTGGCATTTCTTCCATGCTGCCGGTAAGCAGGAAGTGCTTTATTCAGTTGTAGTGGTTTCTCTTGCTGGCAGCAACAACAGCGAGTACTTTGTACTGCTCTTCCTAGATGGAAAAAGAGTTCATAGTATGTTTTCTTTTATTACAGCCTTTTGAATTAAAATCCTTATTTTGCTGCACTGTTTATGTCAATGAGCAAGATGTCCTATATGTAATACCATATGTGTTGGTTTGATTCATCAACCATAGGAAGAGAAACTTTCACTTGCTTAAGAGGGATTTTAACCACTAAAATGACAGCCACTACATCAAATGGAAGGACAACCTCAAAAAAGCAAGAGAAGGCAGCCATGCAGAAAGTGTGTCATTGCTTCTAAAGGGCTGTGTCCCAGGTAGCTGAACTACTAGACATCAGGTTTAGCCTGCAGTATGGTCTGTGGCCCAGAGGCTAAACCTGATGTGCTCTCATGAAGAGGAAAAAAAAAATCATAGAAAGTGTTACAATAATAGCAATGTAACAAAATTATCATTTGAAAGTCTGTTCTCAGTACATGGAAGTCAGAATTACTCATATAAAATAGGAAATGTCAAATGTAGGATAAACTTAGGATTCCTAGAAAGTGGGATGTAAGAGGCTTTTTTTCCAGGCACTTAAGAGTGAAGTGCTGTTTGGGAAGCAAATGCAAAGAAGTTACATATTGGAACATAATTATAAACTTGAGAATCTTCCATTTGAGGTTATTTGTAATACAGACTAGCAAAGCCTAATGCAGCCCAATGAGTTTTATTTGCTTAAACTAGTAGATTTTTCCAATATCTTCTATTTTAGTTATGATATTTTACATCTCTTTCAGTCAAGCTAGTATTTCAGGTGAAATCTGGCTAACTGCCTCTTGGAAGAACATAAGAAGGACTCTGTAGTCATCTGTTGCATTAGCTCATTTCTGTTATTTTGAAATCAGTGCAATGAAAATGGCAACAAATGTTGCTCAAAGAAGGAAAAACCCTAGCTTTCTGTAGGATCTGCCATGACCTTCTGATTGTTATATTTGTGCTGTAATATTGAAAAAGATCATCAGACTAGGTTGTTGTTTAGTGCTGAACCATGCTCTGCAGTTTTGCACCTTTGAACAGGTTTCAGACACTTACCTTTAGGCTTATAAGCATATCAAACTTGGTCTGTATCTGAGGGAAGGAGAGGCCTTTCTAAAATGCAAACCTCATTTGTTTTCTCTTGTAGCAGGATAAAAATCCAACCGCTGTGTTTTTAGACATGAACCAAATGCCAAGTTTACATTGTCTTTTGCAATGCAAAGCAGTGCAATTTAAATAATGACATAGGACATATATTGCACACTTATTCAGTGTTATATGTATATATATATATACAGTTAGAGTTTCTGCTCAGACTTACTTGCATTCCCAAAGTATTGCACAATAAAAAAGCCAAGAGACTTGCTCTGCCTGGACTTGTGCAAAGCGTTCGACACTGTCCCACATGACATCCTTGTCTCTAAATTGGAGAGACATCAATTTGATGGATGGACCACTCGGTGGATAAAGAACTGGCTGGATGGCCGCACGCGAAGAGTTGTGGTCAATGGCTCAATGTCCGGCTGGAGACCAGTAACGAGTGGTGTCCCTCAGGGATCGGTGTTGAGACCGGTCTTGTTCAACATCTTTGTCACTGACATGGACAGTGGGATTGAGTGCGCCCTCAGCAAGTTTGCTGATGACACCAAGCTGTGTGGTTCGGTCGATACCCTGGAGGGAAGGAATGCCATCCAGAGGGACCTCGACACGCTTGTGAGGTGGGCTGATGCCAACCTCATGAAGTTTAACCATGCCAAGTGCAAGGTCCTACACCTGGGTCGGAGCAATCCCAGGCACAGCTACAGGTTGGGCAGAGAAGAGATTCAGAGCAGCCCTGCGGAGAAGGACTTGGGGGTGTTGGTTGATGAGAAAATGAACACGAGCCGGCCTCTGTGTGCACTCGCAGCCCAGAAAGCCAACCGTATCCTGGGCTGCATCAAAAGGAGCGTGACCAGCGGGTCGAAGGAGGTGATCCTGCCCCTCTACTCTGCTCTCGTGAGACCTCACCTGGAGTATTGTGTGCAGTTCTGGTGTCCTCAACATAAAAAGGACATGGAACTGTTGGAACAAGTCCAGAGAAGGTCCACGAGGATGATCAGGGGACTGGAGCACCTTCCCTATGAAGACAGGCTGAGAAAGTTGGGGCTGTTCAGCCTGGAGAAGAGAAGGCTGCGTGGAGACCTCATAGCAGCCTTCCAGTATCTGAAGGGGGCCTACAGGGATGCTGGAGAGGGACTCTTCATTAGGGATTGTAGTGATAGGACAAGGGGTAATGGGTTAAAACTTAAACAGTGGAAGTTTAGATTGGATATAAGGAGGAAATTCTTTCCTGTTAGGGTGGTGAGGCACTGGAATGGGTTGCCCAGGGAAGTTGTGAATGCTCCATCCCTGGCAGTGTTCAAGGCCAGGTTGGACAAGGCCTTGGGTGGCATGGTTTAGTGTGAGGTGTCCCTGCCCATGGCAGGGGGGTTGGAACTAGATGATCTTAAGGTCCTTTCCAACCCTAACTATTCTATGATTCTATAGTACTGGCTGTATCTCATTTCACATTGCCATACAGATGATGACATAGAATGCTAAACAGCTCACTGACTTTGAACAAGGTGGTTTCTTCATGGAGCTTATTACTGGTGGTTTCTTCCGTACCTGCCCGCATACGTGGGCTGAAAGCATCTTAACATGCAGAACGATGTGAAGTTTTACTAGAAACATAAGTAAAAAAATTCTCTACTTTTTTTTTTTTTTTTGCTAAGCAGTAATCTGCTGTAACTGGTTTACAGTTTCAGGTTATTTGCTTTCCATCAACATAAACCAGTGTCAGTTTGAAGTCTGGACATCAATAACTTGATACTTGTGCAATAAAACATAGAAATGCTGTTGTTCTACAGTGTCTGGTTTTAAAGAGTAAGCATAATCCAGAAACCTTACAGGATATTCTTTTAAAATGCCATCTTCCAAGTTTATTGATGTTGAGGTTGGAAGGTCATCGGTATATAATTCAGTGGTTAAGGTACTATGTCATTTTTTGTGTTCTTTCATGTATGTCTCTTTTAATGGGAGAGCCTCAGCTATTAGGATGACACATGTTGCCGCACCTGGCAAACATGCGAGTTCTCCTCCACCTTTTTCCTCTCTATCCATCTTTCTCACTTGTTTTGTAAACTAAAACCACCATTAAAATGATATATTGATGATCCTGTTAGAATTTTTTTAAAATTATTTTTATTTTTAATTTAAGTATCTTGTGGGCATTGTATGGTATGGTGAGACAGCCAGGCGTCTAATTCAAGTTAAATAGAAGAATTTAATGTCAAAAGAATGATGAAATAATATATTCTGTAGGAGTTTAATGTGTATTCCTTGATTATCATTAAAAGCAGAAAATAAGTAGCTGAAAAAGACAACCGGCTTCAAGGGGAGATGGACTAGAGTATAAGTCATTCTAAGGCGAGTCTTTGACATAGAAAGAACTTCTAATAATAAAACACCATCATTCGTGCACAGTGTGATCCAGTGCTGTGAACTCGGAGAGGTTTTCCTGATATGCAGACTTCTGTCAGTCTTTCATTCTTTTCCCAGGCCCCATAAGTTCCTTCCCTTCCTCTTTGAGGGAACTATAGAAATTTAGCCTAGGAATGACTAAGAAAGAGAATTTACAATTTTAAGTGCTTAATGATCATAATTTTTTTTTTTTGAAAAAAACATTTGTGTACCTTATAATTATTTCCATTTTAGGTCTGGACATTAATTTTAGCGTAAACCTAAAACCAAAGCACAATCCTCATGCTAAAATGTTACTAGAGTTAAAGGGCTTATTTTGTGGGTCTTGTAAGCAACACTCCTGTTCCTACATCCAAGCATCCCAACCAGTATATTTGATTAGGAGAAGCAAACATAGCCTCTGCAGAGTTACAGGTAACATGCTTTGTTCTTTCTCCTTTGGGTTTTTGTCTTGGGGGAAGGAAGCTATTCAGTATCCTTGTGGTGAGGATACTGAATAGCTTGGTGGAGAACATTGCTTCCAAGGGTAAAAAGGATACAGGAAGACTGAATCAGCATCTCATTTAAGCCTAAGGGCCAAATTATGCCAGAGCAACCTGATTTCTTTCTCATCCAGAGTCAGTCATTTCATTACAGGGAAGAGCAGCGGATGTCACTCACCTTAAGCAAGGATTCTGCCATGGTGTCTGGTAACATTCTTCTCCCTAAATAGGGAGGTGCTGATTGTGAGTTGGGTGGAAAAACTGGCTGGACAGTTGTGCTTAGAGTAGAGATGAGTGGTTTGAAGACTAATTGTTGGACAGTGATGAAGAGGTTGATTTTTGAGGTGGATACTGTTAAGCACCTTAATCAGTGGTGTGGGCAATGCAGTAGGATGCATAGTCATCGAGCTTGTGGGTGACACCAGCAAAGGAGCAGACTGACACAAGCCGGGGTATGGACAAAAGGACAGATCTTTTCACTCTGTTTCACCATGGAGTGGTGAGGTGAAGACAAGTGTGTCTTAAGAACAACAAGATGCAGATTGACCTGTTTTGGTTTGGGTTTTAGTTCCTCAGCTTTTTGATCACAGAATTGACTGTTACTGCACAGGTGAATTATAGGTCCATGCAGCCAGCAACTGTCTTTGTGCAGGATGGATGGTAAGCAGGAAGCCACAGCCTTTGCTTTGATCTCTCAGCAGAAGAAGTGTGTATACCTGGCATGCTATCTGACAGCAGTTATCTTTACCCTTTTCCTTAGGGATGTACCATAATGGGTCCAGTAGGTGCCCAGAGTTACAACTTATTTTGCACTTAACACATCTCCCTTGGTCCTTTCCTTTCTGAAAATGCGCTTGTATGGACCTGGAGAGAGGCTGACAGTAGGAGTGAGGCTGAGCTTTGGTATTTTTAAGATTCTGTGGCATGCAACAGGTATCATCCCTGTCAACAGTGCTGGAGGGTTTATAAACCTTTTAGTAATGAAACCTGAAACAATGCTATTGAACTTTGATATTCTCTTACATTTAAATGCTACTTTTCTAACTTGATATGTGTTTTGGCTGTTTCATTTTCACAGACCAGGTCTTTGCTGGGAGTATTTGAAGAAGATGCTGCTGCAATTTCCAATTATGTCAATCAGTTGTTTCAAGCCATGCACAGGATATATGATGCACAGGTAGTGTTAATGAAATTCCTGAATACATCCTGAAGCTTTTGAACCCCATTTCATGTCTATTGCTTTTGTTTTCTTTTTAAATATTATTAGAAGCAATTTTTTTTTTAACTTTCATATTCTTTAAATGTGGAACTGAAATAAAATAAGAATGAAATAATTTTTCTGTTTGCTAGGGAGTGGTAAAGATAAGTTCTTGTGATTTTCAACAGAATTTGTTATGACCAGTAAAAAGTTTTTTCTGGTCTTCTAGTAGTTCTGTTGTATTTCCCCAGTGTTTCCCATCGCAATCTTAGTGTGTATAGTACGTACCAAGTGGGAGATTATTTCTTACCCACAGTATGTTAATGTTTCACTTGTCATCTATAAGTAACTGCTTTTTCATGCCAAAGGCAGAACTATTTTGTGTGGTTCTCTGAACAACTGAATTTATGGCTGTATTTTTAATTTGTATACACTGGAACCGATTGACTTTTTGACTGATTTGGTATTCTTGCTTTTCATATTTTTATGCTATTGGCATTTTTACTTTAATGACTACTGTGTTTATTGTAGGTTTGCTGCCATGTAGTTTTATTTTACTGCGTTTCTATTTCGTTTCTAATTTCTGTGCTTTCTTCTTCAACTGCATCATGAAAGATGCAGTTGTTCCATACCATGAATCTGCTAATTAGGTCCTGCTTGTGTACAAGTACAGAGGAGTTAGTAATCAGGTAGTACTGAGGTTCATTTTCCTTTGCAGATGAAAAATTCCTCATACTTGGTAACTAGGACAGCTAATTTAAAATAATCAAATGCAAATGTGCACTGCGTAACATGAAGAATACAGAAATCAGTGCACATAGTACAGGGTGTGAATTTGGTGTTTGTAATGACTGATTACCTGCAACTCTCAATATTGTTAGAGAAATGGAAGGGCAGGATGCTTTAGGTTTTTATGAAAATCTGTAGTCAGATTTCAAATTCCATGTGTGTAATAGTTTCTTCTTCTAATGTGTTGTTTTTTTAATATTGATTTAACAACTAAAAAGCTTGGGGTTTTGTTCTTTTTAAATCAGAATGAATTAAGTGCAGCAACTCATCTGACTTCAAAGCTTCTGAAGGAATATGAGAAACAGGTACTGTGTAAATCATTGTTGTCTTCATGTGGTCAGGACTATGTATTTTTGTAGTCTTTTATCTCCCAGAACACAGTGTAGAATGTATTTAGGCTTGATCCAGATAAAATGAACCTCTGTAATTGGTGGTTTGAATCTTTGCCAAATCTACTGTCTTCATATTAGTTCTTCCAAATAAAATAGAATTAAGTTCCTGTTACTGTGATGAGTATTGGTAAGTTCTGAAAGATTTTACTTTTGGAGCACTGTTTTGGGGGTTGCTTAGGATGGTGGTGGTGTTTGATTTTTGTTTTATGAACCTGTTTACTGTTAAGGGCTTTAATTTTACTAGTCACATACAGAAGAGATTGCATAGCAGTCTCCATTTAACAACTATAATTTACTCTTATTGTGAAAATAATTCCATCCCTGAAAGTGCAGGTAGTGGAATCCATCACATACTCCAGAGGTACCTATGAAGGTACTCCAGTTGCAGCTGTGCTGCAGGGACCCTTTTGCTGAGCTCCTCCTTTAAGGAGGCTGGTGTTCCCTATCCTCATTCTCTACCTAAAGAGGTGAACTGGAAAGAATACTTTTTGCAAGTTATTTTTGGTTGATGAGACTTTCTAGAGGGGTGAGATTAGCTTAAAAATACAGTGTTTCAGCTGGATTATTTTTTTTTCAGTAGTGATCATTTTGGTCATGCTCTTGTCTCCATCAGAGCATTATAGAAGTAAACTCTTTCGGATGGTTTAAAAATTGCACGTAATTTAAGAGCTCAAACTTTAAGTTGAGCACCAAGTATTGCTTAATTTTTGATAAATGTAAAAATCGTAATGTGAAAAGCTGCATAAAATTTTCATAGATGCCAAGGCTGCAAATTTCCTGATTTTTTTTTTTTATGAATTCTAATAATTAATTTATAAAATCGTTAAGTTCATGTATTTTTAAAAATGGATTTTTATTTTTTTTTTAATGGGAGTTGAGACATGATTAGTACAGTTTTGTGAATGGCAGAAAACACTGCAGACAAGTCTCCTTTTCCTTTCTTCTAGCGTTTTCCACTAGGGGGAGATGATGAGGTGATGACTTCCACTCTGCAGCAATTTGCAAAAGTGATAGATGAGGCAAGTGCTTGTATTCGTTTCACTTGTTTACTAATGTTTTCTACTAATTACTGATACATAGACTTTAACTTGCTTAATTATCCCAGCCTTTTTCAAGATAGGCAACACAGAAACGGCTTTAATTTCTCAGTAAGATACACTTCATTGTATATTGCAACATCTACTTATACAACCTGAAGATAAAAAGAATCAATTCAGCAAAATGAGGATATGTTATTAAGAAAGAATGTAGTTTCACTTCCTGTAGGCACAGCCAAAACCATTACAGAATGGCAGTTACAAACAGTTTTTCATGAGGGTATGTATATTGCCTGATCTTTAGGTGCCCGACTGACAAAGGAACCTCCTGCTGTCAGTATCAGAGACAGAAGCTGACTCTTATGAAAGGCAGTTTGGCACCATTAAGATCTGAATCAGGATTTCTTGATGTGATTTCTCTCCTTACATTTTTAACACTACTTAAACATTTAGGGAGGAGGAACACGTTTGTTCTACATCTGTAAGCTGTGAAAGGCTGTGATGTAGCTGGAGGGAAACCAGAGAAGTAAACTGTCTAGTCATCAGAATGTATGAGGCCATCTTCTAATGTGATCCAGTAACTTATAGTAAAGTTGCAAAAGTAGGGACAAATACTAAACTCTAAAATGAGTCTCCTATAAAAAGCTAGTGATGAGATCAGGAATTTAGAGAAGGATAGCTGCAAAAACATGAATATGTAAAATTATGCTTTAGTTATACATGTATTTTTTGAATGAAATTGATGTCAACCTACCTTGATTTGATTTGATTTGTCTCAGCACTGTTTTCCTAAAATTTCCTTCTTTCTCTTGTCTTCTATAGCTCAGCTCTTGCCATGCAGTACTGTCAACTCAACTTGCAGATGCAATGATGTTTCCTATTACCCAGTTTAAAGAAAGGGATCTTAAAGGTAGAGCACTCAAATAAATACTGTTTTTACCAACAGCAACAAACAGTAACAAAACCATAGCATTTGATTTCCACAGCTCTTGTTTCACTAAATAGAATACACCACTTATTTTTCAGCTCTCAAAGTATACATCTCCCAGTTAAAAAAAAAAAAGTCAGTTATTTCCATTCATGAGAGTGTTACAGTTGAAGGACTTGGCACTATTAAGGTTTCAACAAAAATATTACATTATAGAAGCACCTTTTATTCCAGGAGAAAATTATGCAGTTACTGTAAACATTAGGAAAGAATAATTTTCAGATAACTTGCATGCTTAGGAAATATTTATATATATTATAATACCATGACACGAATATAATGGTTGGACTAAACTCAAAAGACAGTATGGTGTCTTTTTTCATAAGCCTGGTAGCCACGTGTCGTGGTTTAAACCCAGTCAGGTAACTTGTTCACTCACTCCCAGTGAGTGGTGCCGAGCTGACAACAATCAAGGTCCGTGTTCGTCTCCCCCCCCTCCCTGCACCGGGGCTCTCCCCTTCCCCGCTCCCGGAGGAACGGGGAGGAGGATCGAGAGAGTGCAACTCCTACGGGTTGAGACAAGAACAGTCCAGCAACAAATCACCACCGCTACTATCAGCTAAAACAATGATAAGGGAAAATAACAAGGGAAGAGAATACGATACCACCGGCCAAGAAAACGAGTTCCACCCGGAAGCCCGTGTCCTTCCGGGTAACTCCCAGTTACCCCCCACCCCGGGCATGACGTGCTGTGGTATGGAATACCTCCCCGGCTAGCCCGGGTCAGGCGCCCCGTCTCTGCTTCCTCACAGCTTCCCCTCTTCCCTGGCAGAGCATGAGCCTCACAGAGTCCTTGGTCAGGGTAAACATCACTTAGCAACAACCGACAACATCGGCTTCACCAACGCTGTTCTCAAAACTAGAAGTCAAAACACAGCACTGCACCAGTTAACACAAAGGAAAAAACATGACTGCTACTGCTGAACCCAGGACACCACGTAAATGATACACTGGCAGGCAATAAGTAGGAGCAGACTTTCCTGGCCACATAGTGCCTGTGCTAGTAACTCGGTATATTACAAGGTGTGAACTACAACTGGTCAGTAGTGAAACATTGCATGAGAAACCTCAATATAGAAATGTTATGTCACTAACAACTTACTTAAATTGTGATATATTGTTTTGTAGAGATACTGACTCTAAAAGAAGTTTTCCAAATTGCAAGCAATGGTAAGTGTAAAATATATTATAGATATTACTTAGAAAACTAGGGAAAATATTTTCAAGGCTTAAAGTGACTAATTAAGGTGTAATTCTTTTCAGTGATACTTAGACACGGAGCTTTTGTTGGTTCACTTTGTAAATCCCTACTTTGTGTACCAAAGTGTTAAGGCAAATTGATAATAGTAGTCTTTTTTTACAATACCTTAGATGTATACCTGATTATTAAATCATTTATGATTATGCTGCTAAAATTACAAAAAATATTAAGGTGTTAGTTCACTTCTTAGTCAGGACTGGATTCATAAACATTTTACCTCACTACAGTTAGTTTGATAATTCCCTCCCCTGTTGTCAGAAGTTATTTTAGCTAGCTCTACCGTATCATCATAGAAAAGGTAATCTGTAAGTAAAGATTAAGGGTTCTGCTTCTCTCAATGTGAATTGCTTCATTGCTTTAGAAGCAAAAAGGATGCAGGATTTCATAATGGAAAATTGTCTCTACTTATAGGGAGTTTCTGTCGTTGAAGAGTATTAGAAATTTATAACTGTTACAGATTTGTATATGTTGGCCATATTTGCATCTTTTAAGATTTTTATTTTCAGCCCAAGTATTTGTGACAGTGAAGTAATTATAAACAAGAACAATTCTTAAAGGTTTTAATATGACTGCACTTTGCATTCAGCTGGCTCTGCAAAACAGTGGTATAAAAGGTTTTCTGTTTCGTAAGTCATAAATGTCTCAAAATGATCGTAAATTCCCTTGTTTGCTTAGATCATGACGCTGCCATTACCAGATACGGTCGGTTGTCAAAAAGAAGGGAAAATGAAAAGGTTTGTAAAACAAAATAATAAAAAGATTTTTAGAGAAGAAATAATTTTAATCTAATATGTATATTTTTATAATGGAAGGCAGTGTATGGCAGATTCCACCTGAAGTTTGCTAGTTTGTTTTAGCGGTCTAGACAGTTTGCTTCAGAACAGAGAAGCAGGTTTCTGTAATACATGCCTGTCTCATAACACTGAAAATGCTCTATGATTAAGATTGTGGGATTAAATTTATTTTTGTAAAGAAATAGCCGCACATGCTGGGGAGCAAAGAAAGCTGTGTTTGTTTTTCATGTATCTCATGTATAAATTAGAGAAGCAGAATTGCAGGGTAAAATGTGCAGTGATGATAGAGCATAGGGCAGCTGTGTTGCTTTGCATCATGCTGGCTAGAAACCTGTCCAGAAAGCATACGATGAATATCAAGTCTCAAACTTTCTTTTTTCTCCCCTCCCCCTGTCTGTTTCTCTTTAGATCAAGGCTGAAGTTATGGAAGATGTATATACTTCAAGGAAAAAACAGCATCAAACTATGATGCATTATTTCTGTGCATTAAATACTCTTCAGTACAAAAAGAAAATTGCTATGCTAGAACCCCTGCTAGGATACATGCAGGCTCAGGTAATTTCATATTCTGAAAGCTGTAGGTCTGAAAGAAGATGTAAAAGTATTTCATGGAGATTGATGTCCTGAAATCCACTGCAAGACCTCTTTCACAACTCAAGGAAGCAAATGGAGAAAAAGATGTGCTCCATCCTCATCCCTGTAGCTGTCATAGCTGCTGCTGTGAACGCTGTCAGTAGCCAGCACTACTCATTCCCACTCAGTGTATAAATCTCATTATGATATGCCCTCATTACCATCAGAGAATCTTTCAGGAAAGTCTGGGTGACAAATAAAAGGTCTAATTCTACCCTGAAACACAGATGGCTCAGTTTAATGCACTGACTAAATTTGCATTGATAGGTACTTCTTTCCACTCGGTCACTAATGGGAAAAGCTAATTAAAACTTTCATGCAGCAAGTCCCAGGGAAGTGTACCTTCTTAGTAATGTGGAGACAAACTCTTTCCTGTGGCAGCTATTCTGAGATGAGATAATTCTCACAGTCATATCACTACTGTTTTCAGCCAAGGAAAGGAAGAAGTGGAATGCTAGAAATCATTCTGGCTTTTTGTTGAATATAAATGAGTTCATGATTGGTTTATTTGAGGAAGTGCAATAGAAAATACAACTATGAAAAAGTTCCATGGAGAGACTTAGTCTGTATTTTCAGAAGTATATCGTCAGTATTGGGGGTTTTTTAAAAAGAAAAAGTCAATCTTCCCAGCATCCGGTGCTGCTACAGTGTCCTGGGTAGAAATTAACCTCCACGTGCTGTTTGAAAGCTTTCCAGCTTAAGAACTCTTGCTTCTTGAAACTTTGCAGTTTGTATATTAAGACCTAAGCTCTGAATGGCTTCTGTAACAGAACTGATCGTGCAACCTGTTGTTCAGGTGCAGGCTTTTTCTAAATCTAAGAATGGGAAGGGTGGGGCCATGCTTCTGGCTTCCCATTCTGAGATTTCGCATGGCTAAACTGCATTCAGATGTGACAGGTTTTCTGGACCAATAAGAGTACACTTTTTAAGATGCAGATTGTCAGCTCCCCTTGGTAGGGTCCACAGTCAGAAGACAGCCCTGGACAAGTCCTCACAGGTTTTCCTTCTCCTGTGCCCCCAGTAGCCCCATCCATAACACAATAGCAGAATGGTGGCCTTCACAAAGTATGGAGACACCTTGGGATCACTGAAAGATCAAACCTTGTTTCTTTTCCAGAGCAGTTTCTATGTATTTCTGTATTTCCTCCAGGTGACTGCACATCCTCTTGACACAATGAAATCCCACTGCAATGTCAACATCAGCTTTCACTTGGAGACAAAACCATGGTTTCATCTGTAATAGTTTATGTAGTTTTATTAATGTAGCTTTATTAAATTCTCCCTTTTTTTTTTTTTAAGATAAGCTTTTTTAAAATGGGTTCAGAAAATCTTACTGAGCAACTGGAAGAATTTTTGACCAACATTGGCACAAGTGTACAGAAGTAAGTTGCTTTGTTGAATTTTGAACTATTACCAAGACAATGATTTTTTCCTGTTTCTACTTCTCTTAATGGATTATCTTTGTTACTAACACATTACTTGCTTTAGTGTTCGCAGGGAAATGGATTGTGAAGTAGAAAACATGCAACAAACTATAGAGGATTTGGAAGTAGCCAGTGATCCACTGTATCTGCCTGATCCAGATACTACGAAATTTCCTGTTCATAGAAACCTGACACGGAAAGCTGGCTATCTCAATGCAAGAAAGTAAGGCAAACTTGTTACTTATAAACATTGCACAGTTTTGGGAAAGGAAAGCTAAAAGGGTATGCAATGTTTATTTGAAATTGGCTATGTTGATGTTACATACTTAGTTGAGTAAGTCACACAGGAGTTACGCTGTTTCTTTCAACTCCTTCGCTTAATTGGCATTAAGTTCATTGTTACATTGACATAGTGTCATTCGGGTGCAAAGCAGTTACCCTGATTTTAGTCTACTTTTGCCTGAATTTTCACACCAAAAAGTTCAAGTGTAATTTCACTGGGTTGTGATTGGAGGACAACAGGACTGCAGCTATCAGGATTGTTGTATAAGTATCTGTTAAAGCTTTGGGATTCAGATTACTAATGAAATTTGTCAGGTTTGAGATATACAAGGCAAAACAGTCTCTGCGAACTGAAATACACGTCAAATGGTCTCTTTTGCCCACTGGAGGGAGCTGCTACTCTGTTTATTAAAGCCTAGCAGCTGATTTTTATAGTTACTAAAAATAAGTTGTAACACAGATTATTTTTCTGTAGTTTATATAATAAACTACAAGGTTGTGGTTTTTTTTTAAATGTGATTATTTTTACAACAACAGTTAGAATAACATACCTACTGAATGGGCCATGGGTTCTGTAGTAGAACACAATTGCAGCAATTAATATTGAAGAGAGTACCTGCACAGAAAGGGAGGCTAAACTGCAAGTATTCCTCCTGGTTTTGGTTTCAGATTGTTCTTCTTTTTCTTATTTTGGGGAAAAAATTAAAAAAAATCTGAACCAAGAACCAACGTGATCTAAGCAAAATATTGGAAGTCTTGTTGACTGGTACAAAATACTGAGACAATGGAGGTATTTTACGTGACCAAGTTAATTCTTAATGTAAAGTTCTTGAAAACTTACTCTTAACAATGTAAATATGGAGTTCAGAAGTCTTATCAATGATATTGATAATGCATATAATTTGAAAGTGTGTATTGCATGAAACAGTACCATAAAAGCTGATCATCAGAACTGAAATACTTAGACCTTTTTATTCTAAATGGTTTCACATAATTTAAAAAAGCTATTGTTCATGTTTTCTTTGCCCAGCAGTAGGTTTAGCATGAAGAACCACAGATGGAAAGAGACTAATTTAACTGTAAAGCTAACCTAAAACTTTAAACTGGGAAAAAGTTTTCTTAAGTGCTGGGATGGTTTGTTGTGCTGAAATGATTTTCAGCTTAGCTGAACTCCAGATCTACTAAGAACCTCTTTTTATCTTTTAGTAAGACAGGGCTGGTATCTTCCAGCTGGGAGAGACAGTTTTACTTCACTCAAGGTGGAAATCTGATGAGCCAGGCAAGAGGTGATGTAGCTGGGGGACTTGTCATGGATATAGACAATTGCTCTGTAATGGCTGTGGACTGTGAAGACAGACGGTACTGTTTTCAGATAACATCATTTGATGGCAAAAAGTGAGTATTCTTATATTCCTTATATTGCTGTTACCTGTATGTAATACTGCTCTCACTAATTCAATAAAGAAGGATGATCTACCTTTGACCAGATTATACCTTGATAGATTTTGGGGGATATTTAGAACCAAAATTTGGGATGTCTTTTTAACTTCCTAGTGTTGCGCTTTTCGTATGCGCTTTTTGTCATAAGCTTTATAATGTAGGTGAGTGGTATTTCAGAATAAAATGACCATAATGAGTTTACAGTCATGTATTACTGCATTTTGTGCCTAAGTATTACATGGGCACAATTAGAGTTTTGTTCCTTTTCTGTTTTCAAGAGAAGTGAAAATGTAGGTTTCTCCCCACCCCCCAGTTAAATGTTGACTGTACTCAGCATGCACGCAGAATCTTCAGCGTTTCTTAATTTGTTGTGCACTGTAGAAACATGAAAATTAAGTTTCCTGTCTGAATGCATTTGAAGTGATGGAGTTATCTTTCCCATTCTCCTCTTTCAGGTCTTCAATCTTACAGGCAGAGAGTAAAAAAGATTATGAAGAGGTAAGCTTATAGGCGGTTTGCATGCAGTCCAGTGATTTTCTGTAGCTCAGAAGGAATACATTTGTAATAATAGTTGGAATACTCATTTTGTGTTCTCTGTGTGGTAAGCAGTGAACTTTTTAACTGAGAGAGTATTACTGTGTTTAAATCCTAGAGAAAAAAATGCAGTTATGATTGCCACAAGTCCTCTTCAGTAATATGGAAGAAAGAGAAAAAAGAACCCACAAGGCACACAACCCACAGCTAAATAGCTAGGAATAGGGAAATCTTGACAAAATGCTGCTTTTTCTTCTCCCTGTTCATGCTTTCCTAACCTTCTTTCTTCCCGCCTGGTTGCCAGGAATGGAATATGAAGGGCGTCGTAGGTTACAAAGAAATCAGGAAAAAGTGCTGAAACGAGCCAACTTGGGTATTTAATCCAGTTTGCTTTAAAAAACTGTAAAATTAATTTTTTGTCTCCCCCCTCCCTTCTTTTTTTCAGTGGATATGCACCATAAACAACATATCTAAACAGATATATCTAAGTGAAAACCCTGAGGTAACTTGACTAAAACTTATACTATCAATAATATGTTAAGATGTAAATACATACAAAAATAAACAGATCAGCTGGATCTAGTTGGGTAGCAGAGAATTCAGCTTGAGTACTTCAGACATGTCTGATTATGACCTTTTCATATTATGAAATCATATAGTCCTTTGTTTCCTTCATCTAAATGGTTATCTAGAAAGTGATAAGAATATCTGACTTTTATATTTGGTATAGCTTTTTGCCATCTTCAGGATCCTGTGTTTGTATCTTGTATGTGACACTTTGTTCCAAAGCATTATGACAAATACTCAGATGGATACATTTAATTCCTACCAGAAGAAACTGACAGTCTTACAAATACAAATCTTAGGAGCATAGAGTTTTGTAGGGAAAACATATTTTCACTTAATGAATGAGTCATTTGCCTTCTTAAGGAGTTGGGAGTTGATTATTTGTTTCATGTAGAGAATTTGGGTAAGGAAATTAACGTCATTTAGATGCCTTACATTTATGTTTATTTAGCAAATTTGTACTGATAGACTTATATAACAATTCTTTCTTGCTAAATTAGGGGAATTAGCCCATCTGAATCTGCTGTTTCATAACAGAGCATTTGTCTATATGTAAAGTTTGTTCAAAGTGATATTGTACTCTTAATGTCCTTGCTGAAGTCTGAAACATGTTACTGGAAAGCAAACTTTCAAGTGGTCATATACCAGCATGAAAACTGCAGACAAAGCAGTCAACAGGCAGCTTGTTGAATAATACAGAAAGCCATCGCTCACCTACATAATGCAAGTATCTTGCCAAATGATCTGGAAAGTCAAGATGAAATAGAAGTATGTCATGCCAGGTCTTGGTTTAGGAGCTAAATATAACTTTGTAGCTAATACAAGCACCTGGCCAACTGTCTAAGTTGACTATACAGATAGGAAACAAAATGGTTTTAATGCAGAGCACAGTTACCTGAAGCATGTGTTCTGATGAATACACAGCTGAGCTTCTGTTTAGTCGTGGCATAAATGGGTGCAGCTGTCTTGCATCAGTGAAGGTGTGTGCATTTACACCTCAGTCTTCGTGCCTTTTCCTCTCTTCCCAATGGTTTTATAGTAATTCTCATTTTCACTTTAATTTTCTGAGTCATACACTCACACAAAATGCAGGAGACAAAATGATGAAGAAGCTGCACCTTCCTCATCCAAAGATTCTCTTTCCTTAAGGGCTTTCACTATTGGCTTTACCCCATGAAGTGTAGCAATCAACATAAAATACTTCAGAATTAGGGATTCCAATTGAAGATTAAAATGGAATTCTTGAACTGTAAGTGGTCCCTTGTTTGTTGAAATAATATTGTAACACAGTCCTCACTCGGTACTTGTTCGTGTCTCAGTTTATCAGAAACATTTAAGTGTTCCCAGATTTTAAGGGCAGACTTTTGAATCTTCATGGTTTTAGGTTTTAGGCAGTAGCTGAGGACTGCATTTCTCAAATGAGATTCTTCTTTTTTCTCTGGCTACATTGGCATATTTTACCAGCCTTCTCGTTGGGACTTTTCTCTGTTGCTGGCTTTAATTAACACTTGCAGTACAGCAAAGCAAGTGCATGCATTAAAATTTAGAAAGTGAACAGCGGAGAATATTTTGCAAGTTAGAAGAAAATACTACAAGTCTGTTAGTGAGAGTTTAGGAAAAGAAAGCTGCTCGATTCTCACAAAGGGTTGTTTATAACTTCCGTCAGTTGCATATAAAATAAAATCTTAAAGCTTATTTTGAAGAAAATGTTTTCAGTTATTTTTTCCCATCCCTCTCTTGCAGGAAATCGCTGCACGTGTGAATCAGTCAGCTCTGGAGGCTGTTACTCCATCCCCTTCTTTCCAGCAGAGGCATGAAAGCATGCGGCCAGCTGTGTAAGTTAATGAACTACAGGTATTAGAAGAGCACGTCTGTAAAGAGAATCCTGGATAAAGTTCCAGGAAAAACAAACAGCAAAACTTCGTATGTTCAGAACTAAATCTGTGATAGGCTAGAGGAAAATTTCTTCAACTCGTCTTTCTAATATCATGTAGCATCCATTGTTGCAAGTCATCCAGATTTCCATCTGACTACAGTTCTGTTGATTGCATCGTATATCTGGTTTGTTGTATGAACTCATAATGAGACTTTCCTTAATGTACCTAACTCCTGGAAACAGACCTCAGATGTTTTAACATCAGTATATAATCACATATGAAATATAATACAATCTGATGCAATTATAAATGCAAGTAGTAACTTTAACTTAAATCTGACTAGGAACATAGACTCCTTTTTTGTTTACTGTAGCCTGACCATCAGTTTTTTAGGTTTTGTGTTGTTTACATCCAAGCTGTGGAGTACTGTATTGATCTTTCATATGGTTTAATTTATTATCAACCAACTTGAAACTTGAAGATATCTTCATTTTTATCTTTTTGTGTTTTAGACAATCTCGTCCTCCTGCGGCTCGTACTAGCAGTACAGGGTCACTGGGATCTGAATCAGCAGGTTTATCGGCACTTTCCTTGGATTCACTTGTTGCACCTGACACTCCTATACAATTTGACATAATATCTCCAGTTAGTGAAGATTTTCCTGGTCAAACAAAATCTTCAGGGCAATCAGGCAGGTAGGAAATGTAAGAAGAAAAAACAAAATCCTGAAGTTAATGTTACTAATTTAAAAACAAACCAACAAGAAACCCATGTTGATGCTGCAGCTCCAGAGCACTCATGTCACAGAAATTTGCGGTGGTTAGTGAAGTATAACAATCTTTTAAATAGTCAAAGTAAGTTGTAAAAAAATGGCTTAATTACATGCCCTAGATTCAGGGTGCAGTCTTCTATTTAACGGAGCTTTTCTTGCTTTAACAGCTAATGCTTTTATTTATTGATTTATTTTAATCTTTCGGTTTCACAAAGTATTTTCCTTTCCTATTGCTTGCTCACCCAGCAGCTTGGGTTATTTCCTCTTGGAAACTCAAGAGAAATTTGGTAGCCCTGTCTCCAGGTGATGATGGCATACGATGACACTCCTCTTAACCTCAAAGGTGAGTGAAAATGATCTAGGCTTCTAGAGTAATCTCATATACAGACAAATTAAAATTGCCAAAGGGCTCTTCCCGAACTATAAAAACATTTTCTCCTACTTGTTTTTTGTAAACTTCCCGCTCAAAAATGGTAAGAAAGACCTGCAGATCTGCACTGCATTTCTGGAACTGTATGTGCAGAATTTGGGTATTAAGGAAACATATTTGCAGATCCAGCTGCTCTTAACAACAGAAAAAGCCAAAAAGATGAAAACTAATTAACATGATTCTAGTCACAGTAATGACTTTTATCCCTTTGCCCTCTAGAAAAATACGAGTTTTCAGTTACACCTTACAGATATGTAAGAGTTAAAATTATATACATTTAACGTAGTCAACTTGTTTTTTTGTTTTGGTTGGTTGGTATGGCAGGATAACAGGTTGGCTAGCTAGATTCTTAAGAATGGACTGACCTGTATTCCAGGAAGTGGAGAGGTTAATACTTCAGCTAAATTCATGTCATCAGTTATAATTCTATTCTAGAAAATACTTTTTTCATAGCAGAAATAATAGAGTTGTACTCAGTGTTTTCAATTAAGCATCACTGTCAGTAAAGAACTGCCGTGCTTGTGCAGATAGGCAACATGCTACTTTAGAAGTATTAATGATTAAAAAAGAACCCTTTCCTTAGTTTCTGATACTGATGACATATTTAAATTTTCTGTTTGCCTTGTCAGAAATCCTGTGAGGTTTTGCATTTACAGTTCCAGTCTAATCTGAAATTACAAAAGTCTGAGCAATAAAAGACACCAATAGAATTTCCCATTACTGAATTGCCACAGGTCAGCATTTGATGGGGTTTTTCTTGACAGAATCTATGTTAATTAAACATTGTAGCAATGCCCTCTTCAAAGTTCAGTCTAGAACAATTTTACTACATTAAACTCGACATTGATTAGTTAGAAGAGTTCATTGACAAAACTGGCAGGTTTTTGTCTCTTCTGCAGTTTGCTTTAGAACACTAACTGTTGAGAGGTGACACCTTCATTGCTCCCCTATAAAACCTAACTTGAAGTTTACTGAACCGTTGACCACAGTTTTTCAGACACCAGTTAGCCAAAGAGAGAGGATTTTGTCCTTTTTAGAAGGTTCTGCTATTTCTCCAATTCCCATACTCTTTTCAGCATTGCTTTACTGCTTTTGAAAAATGTAGACTTGGAAGCCTAGAGTATTTTCACTTTTTGTTGTACCTGATAGCAGTTCTGTCTTTGAGAGCCAGAAATAGCCACATTTCTCTTGAGCTCTAGGAGTAAAAAACCCAGTGGTGTTTTCAGAAAGCTGCATTTGAAACAAAACCAGTGACTTCAGTAAGTAATTCAACAACTTGAGACAGTGATGAGAAGGGTGGTGCTCCTATGGAGTCCTGAAAGGACTAGCTTTTGATTGTACTTCCTGGAGCTGTTCTTTGTTTTCAAAGATAAAGGTTTTGACTTCTTCTTAATTCAGGTATTAAAGTACTATGTGAGCAAAACTCTCCATGGCAGCAATAGGACATTAATACCAAGGTTTGTGCCCTTGAATATAGCAATTTATGTCTAACTCCTGATTAAAATGCTTGATCTTATGATTTATTATATATTATTCCTCTGGATTACAAGTCTGTGAAGTTACTACAAGTTGATGCAGCATGAGACTACTACGTTACTCATGAGTGGTTCTTGTAATCTGACTCCTGGTTTAATGTTTTCATTTTAATAGACGCACAAATCCTTTTGGTGAATTGGGAGGCTCAAAATCTGAAACAGAAGGTAAACCAAACATTTCATTTCAACGCAAAATAAAAAGATTTTTAAAATTATTTTTCTGTTTTCATCTATAGCTGCTCTTTCCTACTTTAATGCCAGTTTTAGAATGCTTGGTTAAATCAGCAGTGTGCTGGACAAGTTGCATTAAATCAGGTTACTGTCTGAAAGTCTGTTTTAAAAATAATCCATTGCACCTTTTGTATTCATTAAACCAAATGAGAAGATGTGTGATGTGCTGTTTGGTAATGGTACCTGTAATTCATAGGTACGAGCAATCTCTCTCCAAGGTATAAGAAGTTTAGAGTTTAGTGAAGTCCATCTTCGGGTTTGGATGGAAAACTCAAAATGGAGTTAGCTTTTTTTAATACTTTTCTTTGTCTTAGATTCAATTCTTCATCAGTTATTTATTGTGAGATTTCTTGGCTCTATGGAGGTGAAATCTGATGAAAGTCCAGATGTTGTTTATGAAACAATGCGTCAAATACTGGCAGCTCGTGCCATCCATAACGTTTTCCGGATGACAGAATCACATTTGTTAGTCACATGTGGCTGCTTAAAGTAAGTTTCCTGCCAGACTTCTCCTGATGTTTATTTACAAAATGATCTTCTTTCACTTTGGTAAAACTTACTTTCTGGTTTGTTTTTCAAAACAAATTTTTAGGTTAATTGATCCACAGACACAAGTTACAAGACTACGAGTAAGTAACTTTATGTTTTAAGATAACTAACCAGCAATGTCATTCTGCTCCTTTAAAAATAATATTACTGGATGGTAGCAAAAATCACTGACAGCATTTAAAAATAGATAATCACTAGCAAATCAGGTTTAACAGTACGTCAAATAGGCTTTTGAAATGTTGTATTTTAACATGTGTGATTACAAACATTTATATTACTAATTAAAGAGTTAACATTGAAGTTGGACTCAAATGAGTTCTGAAGCCCAGAAGGGTTTGCTTGGTGTTGGGTCCTTTTTGGTTTTATTTTAGGTTTTTGGTTTTTAATATGTTGTACAGTTTGAGTTTTTTTGCCTCGTTCTTTATAAAAAATGCACTTGAAAGAAGGAAGTGGGTTATTCCTCAGGTTATCAGATAAAACCAGCTTAATTCTTTAGTAATGGCAGTCTTTATTTTTCATATTTTAAAAATGTTCCCCTCTCTTGCTCTTTATGCAGTTTATGATGTGTCATTTAATTTCTTTGTGTCTTATTTTAAAAACATGTTTTTGGGGGGCATTTTGAATTACTTTTATTTCCATAAAAGTAAATCCAGATGGTGTGAAAATGTCTTGATATTCCAAGCAGTGCTTTTTTCTTTCTGTACCTTTGTGTCATTACATTCAAAATTGCCCCAAAGCCAGGAGCTTGTAGAGGTGAGATAAGTCAGCTGAGTGCATGTCCAGATTTCTAAGTGTGTACATTTAAGGTCAGGAAAACCTCATCTGACAGCTTATCGCAGCTCTAGTTGAGGCTTTCAGCATTAAAAAAATGACTCTTTACTAAGTCTTCAGAAGGTACATTTGAAATTTCTAAGTCTGCCCTCTTTTAGGAATAAGAGTGCAAAATAGTTTATTGTAAGGCAGTAATGAAGATATGTTTTGGACAATTTTGGGGTTTTTTTTTTTTTCTTGTATATAGTTCAGGAGAGCTGAACTAATTGCGTAAAGGTTTTGGACAAGTAGTGCCTTTACCTGCACCAGATATTGAAATCTTGGTCACAAGTGTAATTTGTATGAATGATGTCTCTTTAAGGAAAATAAAAAAGGGCTGTTTTCCCATGTAGAAACTGAGTCACATGAATTGTGGTCCCTCCCCCGTTCTTACATGCGCTGAGTTTTTAGAAGTTTGCCTGTCTTTTGAATAATTTAATCCTTGGATTCTCATCGGTGTTCTATAACTATGTGTTTGGTCAGGTTGTAACTTTTTCTGGTCTAGTTATGCCTTTATGATAGTGAAGTGATTAACATACAGTATATTGAAAGCTCATACAGAAAATAACTTGGAACCAGTTTTAATATGTCTCTATTTGATCCTTTTGGCAGTTTCCTTTGCCCAATGTAGTCTTGTATGCTACGCATCAGGAGAATAAGCGCCTTTTTGGATTTGTGCTCAGAACCTCAGGAGGGAGAGTTGAGAGCCGCCAAACTTCCATCTGCTACATCTTTGAATCAAATAATGAAGGGGAAAAGGTATTGCTGATGTTTATACTTGGATCAGTGTGGATTCCAAGATATTGGATACATTCAAGCTGTCTGAGGGTTTCTGTGAGGGTAGTATCTTGTTTATGGACCAAAAAACAGTTAAGTCAGTGATAGTCTTACCTGTAAGTACTCTAATATGCTGGTATGGCTACTTTGGGAATCTGGCATAATTTTAAAGGCATTTTTATTAGAGTCTTTTTGATTTTTTTTCTGATCTGTTTTGTGTTTAGATTTGTGACTCTGTTGGACTGGCAAAACAGATTGCTTTTCATGCAGAACTGGTAAGATTTTTTTGGGGGCAAGGGATACCTATGTGAATTGAAGGGAGAGGATATGTATAATATGTAATAGAGCATGTTCTGCAAGATGCTTATAGCTGCGGTAATACTGTGGTGGTGTACTTTAAGGGATTTGCTTTCTAGAATTTAAACTCAAGATGGAAAGACTGACCAATGTCCGCTGTGGAACAATATTCAAGACAGGATTCAGCTTGTTACCTTTAACAAGCGTACCAGTCTTTTAAAAGAATGAGCAAAACAGTGGTGCAACAGTTTTGAGCAAATTGGTAGAGTATCAAACATCTCAGGCTGGTGTTTGTTACTCCATTTACATTTTTTTTCCCTTTAGGATCGAAAAGCATCAGAAAAGCAGAAAGAAATGGATAGAGTCAAAGAGAAACAACAAAAAGAACTGAATAAACAGAAACAAATTGAAAAGGTACACGGATCATTATTTCTTAATACTTTCTTAAAAATTCTGCTTACCTTCTCTTGCAGTTTTGTGTTCCAAGCTCCAATATAATATTCTTTAGTGCAAGTTCATAGAACATTGTGGAATTCATTATTAGGAGTATTTCCTGTGCAGATTTTGTATAATTTTGCATAGTGGTTTTTAAAAGGAGCTCTTCTGAGATAAATCGCAAAGTGTCTTTATAGGAATACTTAAGAGCAGTACTTGAAGGAGTGTCTATCACAGGCCCAAAATAATTTCATTTGCTGGTGAGGGATCAATTATATAGGGAGGAAGGGGCTGTAAAAAACACAGAATCATTTAGGTTGGAAGAGACCTTCAAGATCATTGAGTCCAGTCACTAACCCAGCACTGCCAAACTCACCACTAAACTATGTCTCCAAGTGACACATCTACATATATTTTAATTACCTCCAGTGATGGTGACTCCACCACTTCCCTGGGAAGTCTGTTTCAATGCTTGACAACCTTTTCGGGGAAGAAATTTCTCATAATATCCAATCTAAACCTCCCCTGGTGCAACTTGAGGCCATTTCTTCTTGTACTATTGCTTGTTACTTGGGAGAAGAGACTAGCCACCTCCTCATTCCATCCTCCTTTCAGGCAGTTTTAGAGTGACAAAATCTCCTGAGCCTCCTTTTCTCCAGGTTAAGCAGCTGCACTTCCCTCAGCTGCTCTTCCTAGGACTTGTGCCAGCTTCATTGCTTTTCTCCAGACATGCTGCAGCACCTCAGGGTAGTTGAAGATACTTGTTCCAACCTGCTGTGGTTTGTGAGTTACAGGTACAGCTGTAGTATTGTGTTAGCTGTTCTAATAATGCTAACTGCTGAAAGGTAAATGTTTTGGGTTGCTATCCAGGATTTTAATTCCCTCTGTACAGAAAGCTGTCCATTGATCCTATTAAAAGATGGTTTAGAAATCATTGGAATTGTATCCTGTTTCAGTTGTAGATGGCTTTGAAATTAATACTCTTTTTCTGATTTCCGCACTCCCCTTCTCAAATTAGGATTTAGAGGAGCAAAGCCGGTTAATAGCTGCTTCCAGCAGATCCAACCAGAACAGCGGAGAAGGACAATTTGTAGTCCTTAGCAGTAGCCAGTCGGAAGACAGTGATTTAGGAGAAGATGGAAAGAAGAAGAGAGAATCTGAAGCCTAAGGTTGCCTACTTTATGAAAATTGGAATCATGGATCAATTTGGTGAAATGGAACGAGTTCTACAAGAAGTGAAATGCAGGTGGAGGGTCTGCTGTGTCATATAAAAAACTTCACAATACGTAGACCCTATAATGCCTTGATCATTCTTTTTCAATTAAGTGATTTCCATTTTCAAGTCAGTATAATTTCTCTTCTATATGACATGTAGCATGGTGATGCTACCATGTTTGTTGCAAAATTATGTTTTCTCAAGGCTTCTCTGCAGTAAGGAAAAAACTGGGGGGTTTTGTCTCCATTTACCTCTCTGTGCAATTGACTGCTCTTGAAGCAAAACTCAAAACTCTCGTTGGACTTCAATAGTACATTGAAACTCGTTCTTTACATGCAGTGTGGACACCACCTTGCTGAAAACAAAATCGGATGTCCAAATATGACAGTGCTAAGCTTTACCTAACTTGTTGCACATAACTGTTCTTAAATTTAGAAGGAAGAACCTTAATGACATCAGTGAGATGTGCAATAGTTCTAGATAGAAGGATCTTATTTTTTGTTTCATATTGCACTGTATGATACTGTCTTGATTTCTTCAGTGAATATAATGCTGAAAGACTTCTTTCACCAAAAGGAAAAAATACTGTCAGAGCTAGATAGAGGATGAGATGCAGTTGCACTTTGCTGCGTGAGGAATGTATAAAGCATTCCTTATCAAATGATAAGAATAATGTATATACTCTTGTAGCACAAGTGCCATGTTCTTGGTTTTTCCCCAGTAGTGTAATGAAAAGCTGTAAGCCTTCGAGTTCACTTGTTTTATAAAACAGGCTTAGAGTTGCAGGAACATCTTGAATTCCATAATTTTAAAAATCTAATGCATATGTAAATGCCTTGCCACCAGTAGACTACACTTACTGAAAAGGAGTTGAGGCTCTTTAAGCCTTTTTATGGAAATTAGTTTTACAAACAGAATGTACTTAGCTCTGAAGTAAGAGGCTATGCTAATCCTACATCCTAGAGTCAATCCTGTAAAGTGTGTTTCAGAGCAGTATCTGTTTACAGCTTCTAATCTGAACTCCATATTCCATACCCTATGTAATATTTATTTTGTATAGTACTAAATGCGCATTCACCTTTTGCTCCAGAAGAGAAAACTTGTTTGAAGAGAAATATTTATTTTTGCACTAATTACTATAAATACTAAAATCCAGTGGAACAGAATATATCTCTCTAATAGTGGCATGAAGATAACAAAGTATAGAAAGAGAAGAATATACTTATACTCCAAGTTATAACAGTTACGAGTGTTTTACAGTTCACTGCAGGGCATTTCTGGTGTTCAGGAATGGAAGCAATTTTCACACCACCTCCTGATCAGCTGGTGATGGCCCAGCCCTTCATTGCTGGAGCTGCTCAGTGCTGATACCGTACATGAGGAATTTCAAGACCTCTCTGCTCCATGCCTGTAGGTGCAGAGAGGGATCAGTGTCCTTAGCCCTCCTCATGTGCTGGAGTGGTCCCGTGCTGGCAGCACTTCCCTTTTGGTGCACAAGTTCCCAGCCTCTGGCTCCTGTCACAGGAGATCGGGGAGTAGTGCAGCCCTTGCAGCACTGGGCAAGATTGACAGAGCCAAGTTCCTGGAGAACTGCAGCCTGGGGAAGGGCTTCAGCAACTGGGGAAGGGGTGACACTCTGCCTTCCTTGAGAGAGAAGGGGAGGCTGCATCTCCACATTCTCTTCCCGAGTTAGTTAGCAAGGCTTGCTTCAGTACATTTTTTGTCACCAGAGTAGCCTGTCACTTGCAGAAATTTTGCTGTTGCCCAGTCAGACCAGACGGTGTTGCCCTGTGGCCAGATTTGGCTTGAATATTGTCACATGGACCACACACATCTGAGGCTTTTGTCTGAAGAAAGAGTGGCATTTTTATTTTGTCCTCTGTTCTCTGCTTTCATCCATAGGACACTTTATATTCTTGCCAACAAAAGGGTGCAGAGGCAACAAACCCTTTTTTTTTTTTTTTTTTTTTTTTTTCCCTTTTTGTGCCTAAATCCTGGCTTACAGATCATTGCATGGTAGCCAGGTTGTCTCTGCAGATCACTCCAGTTCAGGTTTCTCTGTTCGTGTTGGTTTTCACTTACTGCTAGTTCTCTTTTCTATCAAATAATATGGCAGTATAGCTCAAGGTTACTGGGTCTTACTGTATCTTCCTCAGGTATGTGCTGAAAATGAAGTAGTTTTGGAACAGCACAGGAAGAATAGGAAATTGGTGGTCTCTAGTTTCTAGAATGTAGTCACCCAGCCTGTTGATTGTGTTGAGCAGTTTAGCTGCAGTAGCCCCAGCTCCATATGGAAGAGTTAATAGATTAGCAGTCTCATCAGAAAGCACTTCTGATGTATAGCCTGTTTTGCATTAGCGTTATTGAAGAAATGTCAGAAAATTGAATGGCTACATTTTTTCTTGAAACCCACCATTACTATTTCAGACATAAATCTGTAAAGATGATGAAGAAAGCAGGAGAGTAAAGTTGGTAGATGAATTTGCTGTCATACAGGATTTTTCAGATTTAGCAATGCGTAAGTGGAATTGCTCCATTTGCATAGGTGAAAAGCCTGAAAAGCAATTAAATGTAGTTCTCTAAACCATATAGGAGTGAAGGGTGTTCTGTTTGTGTTGGAGGATTCTCATCCTAACAACTAAAAAAAGGGGGAAATGATTGAAGAGAGTAAAAGAAAGATTAATATGCATGAATGAAATAAAGGGGGATAGTTTTGCTTATTTTGGAGAGTCTCACTGGTGTAAAATGAGCAAATAAAAAAGCATCTAGGAGAGTGATGGAAGCTGCAGGAGCAAAAGGGAGGTCAGAAGAGATGAGGAGTTTAACAGGAGTGGTGCACTGAGTGAGCATTAAGGGGAGGAGCACAAGACTCTTAAGTAGAACCACCTCAGGGCAAAAAATAGCTGCTGAGGTTTTATTCATGCCCTCATCCTCGAAGTATTTAGTACCTTATTTCCTGTGAAGTTTAAAACTACATCATTGGAGAACACTTTTGTTAATTAAAAACAAAAAAAGTGCTTAATATTTTTCTTGAGAGTATGACTTTTATTATCAGCACCTCATGTCCTCCTGGGAACTACTGCAGTAGGATTTCAGCACTTGAGCATTTTATCATTTTACGTAAATTACTGGTTGGTTTCCTCACCTCTAATTTACAGCTCCTGTTTAATACTGCCTTTTACTTACAGACTGATGTTTCAAGCACTTTGAGCCGAAGTTGTAGTTTGCAACATATACATCTACTAGGATTTCAGACATGCCTGAAAATACTCTTTCAAGTACCTGATTTTAAAGTGACTTTGCAGTTGTACTGCAGCCACAGTGTTGTTGAGGACTAATTTTTTATGTTGCTAATTGAAGCCTTGTAGTTCCTGCCACATTTTTCCCCTTAGGTAAGGGGATACTGAATTTGTTACACTAGATAAATTTACGCGCTGCAGACCAAGCAAGTCTTGCTGCCCATTGTTCCAAGCTACATACATTCTTTATGTATGTAATGGCATGAATATATCAAAATTATGCTTACGGGTATGCATTTTATTGCATTATAGGTAATATGCAGTACCCCTCTGCAGCCACTAACAGCTTTCTCCAAGTTTAAATCAGAGGACAAGTTAAGAGTCATATGCAGTGTAGCCATATACAACTGGTTATGAGCAGGTAGTTAAACTAATTTAAATATGATTGTCTTCCTTCATTTGTTTAGGTTTAAAATTGTGTGAAGCCAATTTACTGTCTAACAATGAAGTAATATTTAGGAGTTAAGGAATGTTCCCCCTCTACCGTGCTGTCAAATTTCATCTTTATATAGGCGTAAACACTGAGCTAAAAATTTTGCAACAGCTGAAGCTATTTTTGGACCTATAATTTATGTACATTGGTATAAAGAAGCAAATGTGCCTGCACGTAAGTTTAAGGTAAAATCTGATCAATTAGTTGCACAGAATTTGGGAGGAGCCAATGGAGAAAACTATGTTACGATATAGTCTCTTGTTATTTCAGAAATAATTCATATAGAGAATAAAAACCTGCCTCTGCTTAGTGAATTTAGTAGAGATATTGTCTAGTCTAACAGTGAGAGCTGGTATTTCTTTCTGCTGCTCTATTTCAGAGAATCTCTTGCAAGTCAATCAAGGCCTCTGAGGCTTTTCTTTTTAACCCTGCAGTAAGTTGATTTTTTTTGTTTTCCTTGCCACAGTGGTATCTAAGTTGTCATGACAAGAACAAGCCAGTATGTCATTGTGAATGCACTTGTATTCCTAATGAAGTTTCTATTGCAAGCCAAGGATTTTGTACAATCTTTCAGATCATTTTTATAATAGAGTTGTCAAATTCTTACGATGATATTCTGGATTGATCCTGTTCTAGTGAAGTGTAAGTGATTTTTGCAGTGTTTGGGACTGACTTGCACATTTTCCCAGAATAGCTGTATTAAAAACCTCCAGTGGCATATTTGTGTCAACTTTGATTGTTGTATAATCTTGGAAACATGGGTAGTAAACCTGCTGTGCCAGGGCTTCGGTCAATGTTTTGTCGATTAAATAAAAGCTTAACTATAGGAACTTTCTGGGTGGGATTTGTACTAATCCAAAAACCTCCTGCATTTTTCATAGCACTGACTTCCAGGAAGTTATTGGTGATAGGATGTGTTCCCTTCCTCTGAACTAAGTTTTAACATGCAGTTGTATTGCTCTGTTGTCAAAGTGTATCTCCTCTTAATTCTAACCATATTAGACAGATAACCTCAGAGGAAGTTATTGTACTTGGGAATGCTGATAACTTATTTTTGCAACAATCAAAGACTGAACGGTAGAAGAATATTCCTAAACATTGTAGCTACCTATTTAGTGCACATGTTGGTGTGGTCATCTGATAAGGTGTAGCACTCTGCAGAGCTGTGGTTATAATGGTCAGAATTCACGTGTACAGAGGCTTATATATACCAGCACAACCATTAACATGGGTACTGATACATATCTTCATGGGCTTTGTTAGTTTATTGTATGATAAACACCATGTAAAAAGCAACTGGTCATAACTACATTATGGTTAAATTTGTATTTTATAAGGTTTGTAGATTTTTCTGGGGAAAAGCAGACTTTTGGATTATGTAACTTCTGTGATAAAGATGCATGTATAACTAGAAAAAAATTCTATGCTTACTTGATAATGAAGGAATAAATACTACTCATGCCAAGTGTGTTGATAAACTTTCTTTTTTTCTAAAATACAGACAGCAGTATTTTTTAGGAACAACAGGCTCTGTGTCTGTGTGTACACTGTAAGCCTTCCTAAGACAACTGTGACTGCTGACAGGTAGTGTTCTAAAAGCCCACACCCCAAGTGTATGAAGAGAAACTCCTAAAATTGCAAGCATGCCTTTAGCCAGCACTGTAGGAGGAAAACCTAGGAAAACCATCAAAATACATGGTGGACAATACATATTTGTACCAGAGACTGAGGTGCAGAACTAACACAGCTGTCAGAAATAGTGCCTCCTTGCTGTACCATTGGTATTTTGTGCTAGCTGCTGCTAAGCAGAGGTTTCTATGGCTGTTAATCCTGTTTCACTGCTTAGAATGTGGGATTGCTTCATCAAGTGAGGGGGGGAAGAAAACTCCTGCTTAAGCTGCTCTGCAAAACTTCACTGTAGGACTCCAAAATAAAAGTTGTAGGACAAATAAAAACTTACTTCTTGGCAAGAGAAAGGGAAGAGAAAAAAAACAAACCTATGGTTAAATTGCTTACCTTAAACTAAACCCTGAGTTTAACCCTGCAGTGGGGGTAGTGTTACCTATCATGACAGGCTTTAACTTAGCAGTAACATAAGGCTTGTGTTTTGCAGTTCCTTAACTTGCCCCACTAAGCATTTAAAATACTACTGCTGTAACATACAGATAGTTTATATTCCAGTAGATAGGTAGAATGTGATCACTAATACTTACATTTTGGGGTACGCTGGTATTTAATATATATGAGCTAAATCCCAACAGAAAAAGGTCTTATCCACGCCAATATGCCCTTCAAACTATAGACCTAATACTTATGTACAGTTGAGGTGGTAGGTGCCTGTGAAATTTTCCTGTCCATAAAGGTCATATTCCTTGTATAGTACATAGTCTTTCAAGCAGTTTGGCAGTGGAAGGAAGGTCATGAAGACAGGACAACGGAGGCGCAACCGGCCCATGCACGTCCGTATCTTCAGACGACAAAGATGCTTCAGAGAGCGAGGATTTGCTAGAAACGAGAAGTCAAGATTGATATTAATTAATTTATTAAATGTTATTCAATTTATTTATTCAATACTCTGCTACCTTTCAAAAGCTTTCTTCCCTATTTTGCAGCATATTCACTGCAAATAGATAAAATGCATGTGACTGTCCCTGGACAACCTGACTGGTCAGGATCTACTCTTTGTCTCAGCCCATACAGCTCCCAGTTGTATTTACAATCACTGGCCTCTAAATCAACAGCTTTCATTTCTGTCAAGTTGGCCAAATGTAGGTTAATGCAAGTTTAAGGAGTAAAGTGTAGGGAATGTACTTTAACCCCAAATAGCTGGTGTCAGTTTTCTGTCAACCTGAAGAAGCTACTAAAAGTAGGATTTTGAGTCACTATTTCTTAATCTATGTACAAGCAAAAAGGCTGTAAAATTAATCTAGACTATAATTAAATCACTCCATTAAAAATAGTCATATGTTAAACTTGTTCTGTCAACTTGAGGCAGGGGGAAATGGTTTTCTCCCCTTTAAGAGGATTATGTTGTCCATGTCACAATTAAAGTTCACAAGTGCCCTACATAAATAGTGCAGTTACTGTGTTAGACTTCTGAGAGAAACTTAGGTTAAATCCTACACAGGCTGATGTTTAGGAGGTCTCTTACTGTCAAAACATAACTTTTGGCCTAACAAGGGTCAAGAAAAGCACAGTCCGAGGTAAAGAAAACTAAAATGGAACTAACAAAAATCACCCCAGTCCCTAGTTTGTCTTCCCAAAGGCAAACATCAGATACTTACTTAAAATCAAATTGATGTCTGGCCAGAGTTCCTGTTCTTTGAGAACTGCTTCTAGCTTCCAGCAGATATTAACATGATCGACGTAATCTAACATTACTCGCACTACTTTCCCAGACAGATGCTTCAGCCATGACAATGTTATCACTTCACAGAACTGATAGAAACAAAATGTTTAATAGATAATATTCAACACTCCTGTCAGTGACTTACACCTCCGCAGGGCAAGAGCCAGGAACAATGTGCTATGATACCGAACAACCTAATGAGCTAGCCTGGATGTCCCTGCTTTCAGAGCATGAACAAGACCATGCTGGGGAGCCAATTCTGTACTGACCATTAGCATATTATTAGCTACATTTCCACAAGTCAAAAATAATGTTTGTGCTCATTTGTTGTCATGAACCAGTCCTCACTGCAACACCTATTTAATTTTAAAGCCTTGTCTATTCCTATCTTTATGTATAAACTGTCTTACAGTTTCAAAAGTTCCTTTTCTGGCACTGCATCAAGTACATTTTCATTTAGTTTTAGGAAGGCTGCTGGAAGTAAAGCAACATATGAAGACACCTGATAGACTTACCGTTGTATCTTTGATAACGGTCGAAGTCCATCCATCTGTCACGTACTGGGAATGCGAAGTGCTTCCCTGAGGGCAGTCAAAGCAGCGGTGCACATCATACCCATAGTTCATCAGCATTCTTAACATGACTTCATCTTTCAGAGCGTACTGTAGAGCTGAGGGAAAATGTGTTGTATTCACTCTGCAGAAGTAATTGACATTTGCCCCATGTCGGAGCAGTAGATTCATTAACTCATAGCTGCCCATCCTCAAGGCTATTTGAAGACAGTTGATGGGATCTTGGTTTGTCAGGGCTCCAGCGTTCAACAGCAACTGTGTTGAGTGGATATCCCCGTTGGAAACAGCAAAGTACAATGCAGATTTCCGGTGGTCATCGTAGCCTTTGCGAACTCTCTGATCCAGCATAAAATTGGCATCAAAACCAGATTTTAGGAGAAACTCAAGGCACTGAGGATGTCCTCCTGCTGCTGCTGAGTGAACTGGACTTATCCCACTTTCTTTAATGGCATCAAAATTAGTAACTGGAACTAGTATTTTTAAGGCTCTGAAGAATTAAGAAAGAAGAAACTTGGAATCTGAAACACCTACCTCGATCTTTGAATTTCTCTGTGTTGCTGGGCTTCAGAATTCATCATGAAAGTATAAAACTGTCTTAATTGTCCCAACCAGTACTATGGCATGCTATACCTCTGCACTGGCTTTAACTGCTAGTAGTTAAATTGTTAGCCAGAAAGGGAAACTGACTTTACACTTACTACACATAAAATACCATTCCATTATACTAGTATTCATGAACCAACCCATTCCTTGCTAGTCGAATGATTCCTTCTCAACAGAAGCTTTTCCTAAATGTTGAGAGCAGAGTGTTACTGCTTAACCTGTAGGAATTAGGGAATTAACAGAATACATTATGACATAAATACATATAATATATAATTTAATATAAACATTAACATTTAAATTTATTTAATTTCTATAAAACAGTAACATAGGAATTAAGAATCCTCAGATTATTAACCACGATTCAACATTTCCACTATTGAAGACTTGTTTCTCATTTACTGGTTGTGATTTTAGCATAAACATCTTCCAGTAACCTTCCTGTCTTTAAAACAGGGATATCCCTTATCCCCTACATCTAGTTGTTTATTTAATACATTTACCTTCCTGTAATGGGGTGGAGATTAGGCATACCCAAAGATATTGAGGGGATCCCAAGAACCTCAGCATCAGACTGGACAGTGTTATTATCTGTGACAAGTGGGGAAATACTACAGGAATTATGTTCATCCTAGAACGACGATGATTTTATCCTGACTCATATCTTGCATTCAGACACAGATAACTCGTACTTACAAGATAAAAAGAATTCCTCTACAAAACTACAGATTTGCTGCCTGCTTCAAATAAAGTAGAATTAGCAAAATTAGTATTTCTGGTGTCACCATTACTTGATTTTTAAGTATAGTAACTCACAGAAAGTGTCCTCTATATGCAGCTCTGTGGATTGGCAAATGACCCGAGTGCTTTGGTACATTGGCATCAGCCCCATATTCTAGTAAAAGACTCAGAGAATCTGGATTTCCTCCTCCTGCTGCTTCAAATAACACAGAAGCACAATCCATTGCCTGTGAAAGAACATCTGCACCTGGAAAGAAGAATCAAGGATTCTCACAGTGGTCACTGCGAATATCCAGCAGTAATTACTATCTCCAACCCTCCAATGACACAGTATTGTGAAGGCTACATGTTGCTATATCAACCTACTGAGCTGTAAAATAGAACATAGAATAGTTGTGGTTGGAAGGGACCTCTGGAAACCACCCAGTCCAACCCTGTGCTCAAGCAGGGCCAGCTACAGCAGGTTGCCCAGGACAGCATCCATTCAGATTTTTAGTATCTCCAAAGATCGACACTCCACAACTTCTCTGAGTGACCTGTTCCAATGTTCAACCACCCTTGCAGAAAAAAAGTCTTATGTTCAGACAGAATTTGCCAGGTTTCAGTTGGTGCCTCCTCTTCCTACAACATCCTATAGAATCATCCAACATTCTATAGAATCCTATAGAATCATCCTATAGCCTTCTCTTCCTACAACATCCTATAGAATCAAATCTCACCTTTTTGCAGTAAGAGCTCCATAATTTCTGTATGGCCAGCCTGTGCAGCCAGTGCTAGAGGCGTGAGCCCATATCCACTGCGAGGGTCAGGGTCTGCTCCAGAACGAAGGAGAAGCTTTACCAGATCCTTCCTGCCTACTCTGGCTGCCTCATGTAAAGCTGTCCTCTTGTGGACACACTGCAAGTTCACTTTTGCACCAGAATTTATCAACAAGGAGGCAATCTCATATGAATCATGTTTAACTGCTGTAAGACAATAAGGAAAATGTTAATTAGAATGTTATTCCATACTATTCCATGCACTATGGCTTCTATTATGCAGCAGCCCAGGAAACCTCAGGCTGTTCCTGATAGTGCTATTTATGCACTGAGAAATGTCACACTACCCTAAAAGGTTTAATTTATCAACAAGTCTGTTCTTTGTTTCCAGGATAACATTAACTATACAAATGAATAATTTTATGGTAATCTCTTTTTCTTTCTCTAATCCCCTGTTGTGTTTGGTAATGCAACAGAATACAACTTCCCTTGCCACTAGACAGAGATCATATATGGGGGACTTGGTGCAGCCAGGAGCTGGCCTGCTCAGAGAGCTCTACTTAATCTTCATAAGCAATTACCATAATACAAAATGAAATTTAGAATTACTGTGTCACATGCCTTCTTAGCTTAATAAACCTTATCTGTTAAGTCAGGAGGGATCTTAAAAGAGTCATTTGCATTGGCTCTAGTGGATGCACTGAATAGGTAACACTTTTCCCTCCTTCTTTCTTTGATCTTCCAGGCTGTGTGGGATAGAACAGTGAGTGCCCTTCACCAAGACAGATTAGGTAGAGGAGTTTCATGTGCCACAGCTACTTGAAATACACTGATAGCACACTATAACCTCTGATACCCCATTATCTGTAACCTACATGGCTGCTTTAGTTAAATTTCATAAATCCTCATCTTAGGGGACAGTGCATTTTAATATACTGCACATCTTTCCTGAGAAGCTTTAGCCTAGCAGCCTAGTCTAGCACAGCTAGACTAGAACATTTTTTGCTCCTTATAGCAAAATATTTTAGATATTGCTTTGAAGACAAATATGTCAAACTGAAATCTAAAAGGCGTAACTACAATCTCACCTCATTCCCCCACCTCTCTGCCCCTAAATAAACTACTCACCTATAACTAAAGGAGAATCTCCCTCTTCATTCTTAACGTTGGGGTTGCAGCCATTGAGCAGGAGAAAGCGGACATTTTCTACAAAGCAATTTCTTACTGCCACCAATAGAGGTGTTTCACCTTTTAGAGTGGTCTGTTCCCATGTAACAGCACAGGAGGCTGAAATACAGAAAAGTACACATTTGAAGCTGGATGATTCATCAAATACAACTTTTTAAAACTTTCTGGTGGGAAACCAGAAGGGTTCTGTACCTTTAAAAGTGATTTCAAGGATATTCTTATTTAGCTGTGCTGCAGCTTCATGCACGGGAAGCCAGCCTTGCTGATCTGCTTCTTCAAAAGCAGAACTGTGCCTTACCAACTTCATCAAGGCCTCTTCTTGGCCTGTGATATTTTAAGACATACACATATCCCATTACTCATCATAAAACAAAATTCAGGCAACTAATATACTGAGCACCATCTATCCCATCAGTGTATCTATCTGGAATAAACAACTTCTTTTGTCAAAGCAATTTTTTCTCACAGGGTGGTTTACATGAATGGAACACTCAATGATTAATACTGATTCACAAAGCTTTTTGAATTATACATTGAAAAAACTGATAATAGTATGACTAAAATAGTTCAAATGCAATTCTCTCATGAGCAGTAATGCATAAAAGTTTAATGTATAAACAGGTGCCCTAGTGAAACTATAGGAGAAGTATTTAGGTAGCCAAAAGTAAAGTTAAGCTGATTTAACAGGGATGAGACTGATCTCAACAATGATATCACTCAAGTGATTCCTACGGGTATATGCTTAGTGTGGTGTGCTTGTACTTAACTGCCCGAATTGCTGCAATTATCTTTTCATGTTCTTTACTTGTAACATACTGGAAGCTGCATAAACAGAAAAAGAAAGAAAAGAAGTAAAACTTAACATGAATTCAGGATATAATTATACTTTAAATACTCAGTTCTAGACTACACGTTAGATTTCTGTAAGTTATGTATGTTTTTTCAGGGTTTAATATATTAAAACACTTCTTTTGTTGGTTTCCCCCTGCCACTGTAAATATTGGATTTTTCACACAAAAGCCAACAATTAACTACTAAAATGAAAAGCTACCATATGAATGTATTTCTATATCATTCTATATCTTCTTCATAAAGCTTGTACTCATTTAGATATTGATGTAAAACATCACCTGGAAGTTTCACACATTCCATATTTTTGAGGAAAGGGGAATACTTTTTCAGAGAGAACTCAGAACAAGTGAGCTACTAGTGGTTTCCAGTACCCATGAGACAAAGTCAGAGCAATACAACATATGGAGTTACAAAGGGAAATAAGGTTACTACATGCTTATAGTAATGCCAAGAAAACATCCAAAATAGAAGTAATAACTTACCACCTTTCGTCCTCTGTTGCGCTGCCACTTGCTTCAATTTTATGCCTATCTCGTAAACTTTCCTGAATAGCTTGTTGGGTAGGGATTTCATCTTCAGAATCATCATCAAATATATACATAGAATCATACATGGCAAATCTGCACAACCTGGATCACTTTTCATAGGAAAACACTGCTTTTTAATTGGAAGGAGATGTTAAACCTTCAGGTTAAATCTGCAGCAATAGAAATAGCAATCACAGTTCAAGTATCAAGAGAAATTAAACTTAGTTGAAAAGAAATTAAGAGAACTTCTCCCTCTCAAGGTCCAGCCTTCTCCCAGTATTTAAGTTTGTGCTGCAAGGAGTTATTCTATTTATAACAGTGAAGAGTAAGAGTAAAGGTTTTCTATTTCAATGGGATTGCTAGATTTGCCTCTGTTCCACAGACTGAACATATAGAATAGCTACTTGTTCTGGCATTACCTATTAGAAAGCAGCAAAAAAAAGTAAATTCAATTATTTAAGAGTCATTCCCTCTTAAATGCTTTAGACACTCAAATATCATCACAATGGTGTTCTGTTTCCTTAGCAGAAAACCTAAGGGGGGGTGGGGGGGAGGGGGCGTGAGTGAGCGGCTGCATGGTACTGAGTTAGAGCTGGGCTTAAATCATGACAATATTCAATAAGACTTGGGATGCTTTTTCAGTTTGTTCACAGAGGACCCGGAAGCGAAGGGCAAATAAAGGACATGCATTTAAAATAATAAAAGTTATTATGTTAAATAATAGGTTTTGTTCAAATCGTTTCAACAACGACATCGTTAAGACTGTCTCTGTAGTCAAGAAAGTATTCTAGATTTGTGCTATGTGCACCAGCCTCCCAGTGGATAGGGATATTTGTAAGGGATATATATAAAAAATACTGCAGCAGTATATATCCAAATACAGGCAGAAATAAAACACACTGGTGTAACCACAAGGGAGTTAATAATAATAATTAAAAAAAAAAAAAGCAGCTTAAGTATAGCATTAGTTAAAAAAAAGTTTGCCAAATTGAAAGAGATCAATTTAAAATATTTTTACTCTTTTAACATTGTAATAAAAACAATGGAGCATAGAAATAAATCTAATTGATACTATTTGTTAAGTCTAAATGTTAAAACTTAAGAACAAATCAATCATTAAATAGTATAATGTGTGTAGATGTACACTGTTCTGTGCATAAGCAGTCACACTGTTCTTTTGTATATTCACCTACATGCATACATACATACATACACATACAGAGATTAAAATCACAGATGTTCTGTTGGACTGAAAACCCTCATCTGTTTTACCTTAACACAACTTCCACTTTTGTCTTTCAAGAGAGTTGCCCTGAAAAAATACAGGGAAAAGTAAAATAAACTGAATATGCAAAACTGAAAGCAAATAAATAGATTAGCAAAATGAACAAACAAAATGAAGGAAGTTGCCAACATGCCACTCAAAGAGTTTGGAATAATTCTAGAAACTAATTAAAGTTGAGCAGCAGTAATTCATAGCAAACCTGCATTATTGAATTTGTTACCTGATCCACCTGTATGATTGCAAGGCCTTGCTCTGTAATTGCACATGTAGCAAAAAGAGAAATATATTAAGAAAATGTACAAGACAAGTAACTGTTAGTGTTTGATAATCCCTACAGTACAATCCATAGATGAAAAGTTTAAATCTAGACCAGTTCTATTTTGTAGAAAGACTAGTAATTTTCCTATGAATTGAGAAAATATACTCATTTTCCTCACCTTCTGAAAGAGGGAAGACCTTACACTTTGACAAAGTGATTATTAAGTTGAAAGTGATATTTTCAGGACTGAAAATGATCTCAGTAGAGCCCATGTCCATTAATAGCTCACTATAAATACCTGATCATAAGATACTCTGGGACTTTCTCTATGTTTCTTTCATATGCATTAGCTATGTTTAATAATCTGACCTGACAAATTGTGTCAGCAAAACAGGGAATTATGAGTCTGGTTTCTTTGTAAAAATATTCTTGTTAAAAGTTTTTGGAATGAGAATTTCAGAACTGTAAGTAGTAGCTGTTACATTACGGAAAGAAAATTCTTCAGGGCTTTCCTAAGAGAGTAAACTGAAGATACTCTTTTAAGTAAGGTCCTAACAGCAAGACAGCACAAAAAGAAAACCTAAGCCAAATAAAAGTAAACATAAGCAAAATCAAGCAAGAACTTTATTTTTTTCTGATTGCTTAATATCAATTCACATATTAAACAGAAAAACAAAAGATAGAGTCTTTAAAGGGAAAACCACAATTTCAGAAAAACAGACCTATGCTGAAAACTCATGCCAGTGTAACATACAATAAACAGGGAAGTGAACCATAGATGCCTAGTTAGCTAGTGACTGTAGGACGGAGTGAGACTTTCTCGTGCTTTATTTACTGCTACTGTATTTTATGGAGGGATGCTTACAAAGCAATAATGATGGCTGTGTCTGTATGCAATAGTTCTTTGCTAGAGATTTAGGAAGAATGTTTGAGTATTTTTACTATTTATTTTTTTATTTTAAAGAAAACAAAAGTGCAGAATTGGTGAAGGAATAGAAACTGGACTGCCTCTCTGGAGCAATAGGGAAACAGATAACATTTTAGCACCTGCTACAGATTGTTAAACAATTTCTCATACTGCAATCTTTGCTGTTGCTACGACAGAACATAGGCTATATATAAATCATACTAGAACCCCCAAACTTACTACCTACTAGCTTTCCACTGACATGTTTCAGTGCTCTTAGTGCTTCAAGTTCATTAACTGCAATGTTTCTCTCTGAAAGTGCAGACCAGTTTCATTTTCCATTAAGATGTATTTTGTGATATTGAAATAATGCATAAAATTGACATTTAAACATTAATAATATTACTAAAGGCTAAAATCCTAGCTGTATCTTTTATAGATTCTAAAGATGCTAATAATAACACATAGTTTTTTAAGACACAATAGTGAGCATCAGAAAATATCTGCATGCCCTCTTATAATATAAAAAAGTCAAGATGTTTCTTTTACACAGTATATTCCACTTCCTTTGTAAGCCAACAAAAAGATCAGGATCTAGTGAAGCCTGTATCTGAACTGTCCAAAGTTAGTCATCTAGCTGGCAGAGCAATGCAATACCTCGCTTGATCCGATGTTGTACTGGTTTATCCGTGTTAAGCGTCAAAGCAATGACGAAGTTAGCAGAATGTCCAGTAGTAGATAAAACTCCTTTGCACTCACTTGTCTTGTAGAGTGGGCAAATATACACATTAGATTCATTTCTGATTTTACAGGTTGAAAAAAAAACAAAATAAGAAATTACATTCAGAAGATCTACTGACAGAAACATAACCTGCATACAAATATTAAATATTTACAGGAACATCCTTAAAGCTAACTAAAAATGCAAAATTGTTTTTTAAGTAATCAAATAAAATCATCTGGCTTTTTTTCTGTGTTTTCTTGAGTGGTTTGTTTTTAAATTCAACTAATTTAACTACAACTTGTTTTCAAGGCTCTGTGCCTTCTTGTGATTCTACCAGCTTTATAATCATTCAAAGGCACTTTAAAATCTGAACAGTTACATAGTTAAAGCATAGCTCATACACGAGCTTTTAACAGCTCCACAAGAACTAGTTCCAGCAGCCACTGAACGTAATTGCAATTCAAGGCTCCCTGCGACCCAAGGACAGAACTCTGCAGGAACTCTTTGCATGCCTAGACTGCTTACATGAAACTTGTGCAAAGTCTAAAATCGTGTCTGACCAGATTCATCCAACCCCAAGAAAGAGCACAGGCAGAAAAAGTGGAAAGTTTATAAGACTACCTATTAGCTAATAACATATGAGTAGCAACAGCTGCAGTAGAAAGTACTTCTGCAGTGAATAAATAAAAACAGGTATTTACTGCTTCTGATCAAACAAAACAAGAGCGATGGGAAATATCTTACTGGCATGACAGACAGCTAGCATACCAACTAAAAATAACCTGAGCAAACCTCGCTAAATCATGTGAGCTAAAACACTTAGTCTCTGTAAGTCTGTTAAAAGTTGTCTGTTAAAAGCGGAGACAGGACACCTGACCCAAACTAACCAAAGAGGTATTCCATACCACAGCACGTCACGGCCACTATATAAACTGGTGGCAGTTACCCAGAAGGGAGATCACTGCTCTGTCAGGCTGGGTATCGGTCGCCTGGTGGTGAGTGGTTGTATTCTCTCCCCTTGTTATTTCCCTTATCATTATTATTATTGGTGGCAGCAGCAGTGGTTTGTGTTATACCTTAGTTACTGGACTGTTCTTATCTCAATCCGTGGGAGTTACATTCTTTCGATTCTCCTCCCCATCCCTCCAGGAGCCCGGGAAGGAAGGGGGGGGGAGAGTGAGAGAGGCTGCATGGTTCTGAGTTACCAGATGGGCTTAAACCACGACACTTGCTTTTTATTAAAATAACTGATTCCTTTCAATTCTAGGTTTTCTCCATGATCCCTGTATATTCAACATACAAAACATTTCTATGTGTTTTATACTAAATGTTAATCAGACCTGTTGCATGCGATCCAGTTCTGAGTATTCTTTGAACTCTGCCTCAGAACACGTCAGCTTTTCTAAGTCCATCATCAGTTTCTCATGTTTCTGCATTAGTTCTTGCTCTCCTTTAAATTTAGACTTTTCAATGAGCTGCAAAACAATTGGGTTTTTTAAAATGGTACAAAAGCAATGGAAAAGTGGTTTTAAGTCCTTTCAATAATTAACATACACAGTACCATCTAAATTAAATACTTAGCACAAACAGAAAATAAACAATCCAGAAAATTTATTATTGTCACAACAGTTGAAATTACTACCAGAATTGCTTTCTAAATGTCACATTTAAGTGTGTGCAGCCCCTACATGTTAACATGGGACCTTTAACTCAGCAATCATGGCAGTTAGGAGTGCCTTGGAGGCTTCCTGCCGCAGTCAGACAAAAGATAGGAAGGTATTACAGGAAAAACAAAACAAAACAAAACAAAACAAAACAAAAAGCACACCAAAAAAACCCAAACAAACAAAAAAAAAGAGAAATTCTCATCTTGTTAATTCTTAAACAGTTTTACGAGACATTATTAAAATTACTCTAAATTCCTATAAAGAGGCAAGAGCCTTGAGTCAAGTGTAAAGGCTTGCTTAACTGTATCACAGCCAGAGAGAATGAATGCTAGTGAAATGAATATAGAGAAGTGGAAGAAAAGAGAATAATCTACAGTCACATAGAGAAAACCAGATGTTGTGTATTCTCTATTAATATTTGCTACCTCAAAAACACAATTCCTACTGTTCTTTTATTGACAGAACAGAATATCATTTTAACTAAATGACTTCCTGTCCAGAGCACTAACTCTTTTTACGACTTTATTATGGCAATTGCATTTTTAATACTAGTCAACTGCAGTGTAGCAAATTTTCACCTTCCTATGAATTACCTAGTACTGACAACAAACAAATTAAGGTAATAGTAAGACCTGCTGAAGGTTTTAAGCAATTACTCCACCAAAAGTCCTCTATTGATATAAAAAATTCTGGAAATACGTTATTTATGCATGTCTAAGTTAGTATGATTCATGTTACATGTGTTACATTTAGCCTGCTGAGGAAATTAGTAGCTCAAGTAGTGTGAAAAGTCTAACCACCGAAAATACACCATAAACTAAGAAAATGCTCTTACATCATCATGCTCATCAAAAATAGGGCCAATCCTCTTTGGCCATAATTGAACTGTTGCATTCAGTGCAATGTCTTCAGGATCAAATACAAAATTGTCTAAGAAGTAAAGCAGCTGCTGAGAGCACTTCTGTGAAAAGAGATTTAACAAAACTTTAAGTCTCATAGATCTGTTAGAATACAGGGTAGGACAATATTATCTAAAAAGATAAAACATAAGTCTACATTGCATAGACCTTTCAGAATTCAGATCCATTTCAGCCAACCAAATATTAATATGCAAAATACATATTTAAAAATATGAAAATCCTTGACCCATTTGTAAGCTTGTTTCTCTAAATACGACTCCTGTGGCGTATAAATCCAAGTGCAAAAATCCTAATATAATTAAAAATATAAACCCCATAAATTCTTCAGAATAAACATGATATATTTACAGACCTATTACCATAACAGAAAATCTGATACATCTCATCACAACTTATAGCAAAGAGCTTCTTATCCAATATTGGTTTTGGCTGACCCACACCTTACACAGTTTTGTTCTCTGAGCACACATAAAGTACTACTGCTAATGAAACATCATCTATATTTTGCTCAAAGAGTAAATTGCTTCTTGTGTGGTCAGAGTTATGACTGGTTTTACACATAATATTCTTTTACACTTGCGTGTTACATTTTTACAAATAGCTTTTTAAGCAGCTGTGAAGTAAGTCTCTAGGGACAAACAATAATCTGAGTGGTTTACAACCTGCTATGATTTATTAAAAGCTGCATTTCCTCACCAACATACAGAATACATGGGTGTAGGGAGTAAGAAGGAAAGGCATACAGCAAAGAATGAGCTGGACTTTGGTCTGAAGGAACACTGAGGATACAGTTTAGCCGTATCTGCAGCATGATCAGACAAAAGTCTGCACTCCAGAATGAATTCTGTAGTTTTACAGGCCAGAATGTTTGGTAAAAGATTAAGAATTAAAAGAATAATTTACCTTGATCCTTAACAAGAGGTCCTTAATATCTTTTTCTTTGACTTTCTTCATGTAAGCTACTGTTTCCACCATTTCTTCTGCTGTCTCAGGAACTTTTAATGCACGTTCCTTAATGGCTTCAAATTCCCTGCATATCCTATAGATTTATTTTACACAAATATCAAAATTTTAAGGTTTGAGTTTGACTGGCTATGAGCTCTACTTTAATGGAATTAAAACTTCAAACTACTTCTTTAACACCCCCCACACCAACTCCATTACTTTATGAAACAAAGTAGGGAATATGACCAAGCCAGTCTAGAAAAATACTGTTTCTTAACTTGCAACAATTGATTTGTTTGGATTCTGGGGTCTTGTTTTGCAATCAATATTTCAATTACTATTGGTAAGGATATGAACCTAAGTACAGTATCACTGGCATACACACAAACACTTTCATAATAAATATTTTGTCATTTTGGTAATATGGTATCACTATAAAATTTTACTATATCTGTTCATTTTAACCAAAACTTAGTAAGACTTCACTTACAATTTAATCCATACCTGCAAAGTAATGTCCTGTTTAATTAATGTGATATCCCTTCTATGCTAAGGTCACCTGCTTAGTGGGTGAAGGGAAGGCAGTGGATGTAGTTTTTTCTGCACTTTAGTAAGGCTTTTGTACTGCCTTTCACAGCATCCTTCTGGACAAGCTGTCCAGCTGTGGGGTGAGTGGGTTCACAGTGCACTGGATGAAGAACTGGCTGAAGCACAGAATTCAAAAAGTGGTGTAGCGAATGGCACTTCATCTGGCCAGTAACTGGTCATCAGTGCTGTTCTCAGGGGTCAGTTCTAGGGACAGCTCCTCTTTATACATTTATCAACAATCTGAATTCAGGAGTTGAATGCACCATTATCAAGTTTGCTGAGGATATCAAACTGGGAGGTGCTGTTGACTCCCTTTGAGGGATGGGATACCTTGCAGAGGGATCTAGATAGACTGGAGAATTGGGCTATGACTAATGGGCTAAAACAAGTCAAACTGATGGATTCTGCTGCTAGGACGGAGTAATGCCTGGCATAAGCATAAACTGGGAGAGGAGTGGCTGGAAAGCAGGCCTGCAGAAAGGGATCCAGGGGTGCTGGTGGGCAGCAGCCTCAGTATGAGTCAGCAGTGTGCCCAGGCAGCCAAGAGGACAAACCTCATCCTGGAGTGCATTACATACAGCTTGACCAGCCCGTCAAAAGAGGGAATTATCCCGTATGCAGGGCTGGTGGAGTTTCACCTGGAATACTGTGAGCAGTTCTGGGCCCCACAATTTAAACAGCATATTCAGGTACTTGAATGTGTCCAGAGGAGCGCAACAAAGCTGATGAAGAGCTGGAAGGCATCTCCTGTGAGGGGCAACAAAGGACTTGGGTCTTCTCTAGCTTGGGGAAAAGTAGGCTGAGGGGCAACCACATTGTTCTCCATAGCTTCCCGAGGAAGGGAAGTGAGGAGGGAGGGGTTGATCTCTTCTGCCTGGTAACTAGTGACAGTGGGAATGATTCAAAGCTGTGCCAGGGGAGTTTAGACTGGACATTAGGAAATATTTCTTTACTGATGTGATAAACACATAAATGTATTGGCTTTCGCAAATCATAGGTGTGGTTATGTGGATATAACTGTATGAGCTTACAATAACAGAAACAAAGCTTGCTAAAGACACAAGATAAGACAACAAGTTAAAAAGGGCCAGAACTCTTGAGCAAAATGGAGTCACAGAGCAAAAGAATTTGTAAAGGTAAAAGATTGGGGGGGGGGGGGGGGCTTTATATAAGAAAAGCTAGTGCCTGAAAAACATAGAGTTAAAGTACTTTTTAGCTTAACTTAGGTTGTAGAAAGAGAACAATATTTATGTTGTAAGTCTGTGGAATGTAGTGGCCCCACTAAACATGAGTTAATTGTTTCACGCAAGTCTTCTAAAGTATCTTTAGTTTTAAAGAACAATGTTTGTTTTGTAAGTCTGTGGTGAGATAACAGGATTTAGTGGCCCCACTAAACATGAATGAGTTATTTCACACCATCCGTCTACTTATCAGTTAGAGACAGAGCCTCCCAAAGATCTGCTAGCTTGGGATACTCCTTGTCTGCCCATCCTGCAATAAATTTTGCAGGAAGGTCACACTGTTTTAAATCTTTGCTAGTTATCAGAAGAATTACAGATCTGGCTGGTTTCAGCTAGTTGTGTGATTACTGGGGCGTCCAGCTGTGCCAAAGGTGAAAAGTACACGGTGAGGAAGACTGCTTACTTCATCTTGAAGACCCCTACTCACAAGAGGAAGACTGCTTACTTCATCCTCAAGACCCCTGCCCACAATCACCAGAGAGCAGTGTGCAGACGCCAAGAGGAGGAGACTTATGATAATAAGTTCTTGGACCTAGTTATAATATTCCCCACCTATATGAGCGAATTATGAATATGTATGTAACTAATACAATAGTGAAAGTATATAAACCTGTAAGAAATACTAATCATTTGCGCCTCTGGCTACAGCCATGTGCCCAGCGCTGTTGCTTTTGCTTTATTGACTTTGTCCCTCAATAAAACCTTGTTATCTTGTTTAGAGGAGTGAGTTCGTATTTTACAGTGAGAAGGTGGTAAACACTGTAATAACCTTCCCAGAGAGCTGTTCGATGCCCCAAACCTGGCAGTGCTTTAAAAGGCATTTGGACAATGGTTTCAATGACATGCTTAAACTATTGGGCAACCCTGAATTCGTTAGGCAGTTGGACTAGATAATTGTTGTAGGTCCCTTCAAACTGAAATTAGTCTATGCTATTCTGTTCTAATTAATCAATGTTATTACCTACCATTACCTATGAAAATCTAGAGGTATCTATCACGTAATAAAAGAATCTAGCTAGTCTTTTCTTTGACAGTGCAGCAATACTGTTTTCACACTTAAAAAGACAGAGTGGTAATGAATCCCTTTGATCTTTTGGAGCCTCTGTTATCCAAGTCTATTAGTAAGTTCCCCTACTAGGTTTTGAGTCTAAAACAGAGAGAAAAAATACATCAGCTGGTGCAACTTGCATTAGATTATTAGTTTGCCAAGAGTCTTCATTAAACACGAGTACGATGTATTTGCATTTCTTCTACATGCATCTACTATGCATTTAACACATATAACATTCACAAGCAGAAAATTCTACTTACTTTTCATTTTCCTCTCTGTAATTTGCAACTATTCTGTCCATTAGCACTTTTGCAAAGACGTTTGCGCTACTCGCTAAACCTTGCTTTAAATCCTCAGAATTCAAACAGACCATAGGGAAATAAGCCACCTCAGGTAAACTCAGGATTTCCTTCTTGTGGGTGAAGAATTCATCTATTAACTTCAGAAAAATATTAGATTTTGCACTTCAGAGATGTTATTTAAATACTTGGCTACATGAATCAGTATTATACATTGGAGAAAATATTTTTTTTCTATTTACCACAGATTTTTAGAAGAAACACTTAATGTTGTAGATTCGTAGGCAGTCAGCATAAGTTTTAGCTAAAGGTTAAGCACCCCTTATCCTCTGTTTCCTTTTTATTATTGCTCTATGTATAGTAAAAATTAAAGATAAAATGTAGCATTAAAACTTACAGCAGTGTATTCATCAAAACTGTGTTCTTCTGCTACAAATCTTTCTACCCGTGCCTGTGCAGTCCCATCTACAAGCCAGCCATACTTTTCAACTACAATTCAATTAGATTGGATTAATACTATTATAACACATACACTGTCCCGTAAATTATTTATTATAAAGAAATAACACAGTTATTTAAACACTCTTCTAACACTCACCATATTTTTCAAAATATTTCTTTGGACCTTCTAAGTTGCCTCTGATACGCTTTTTCAGTGTAGTTGTGGCCCATTCTAAGACATGCTTAGGAAGCTCGGAATCCAGAGCTGTAGTGTCTCCCGTTAGCCAAGAACGTACCGTTTGGAAGTTCTAATACGAGTGCAAGTTTTAATTATTTATATTTTAAAAGGCAATACCAGGATATATATAGTTTAAGAGTAAGTTGCAATCTGCAGAAGACATTGAAAAATGAGATCCTAATTGTTACCAAGGTCAGGTGCTTCACACATACCTAGAATAACTCTTCCCAATTCAAACAGTTTAACAGGAAACACATGAAACAGACAAAAAAGAATTACCCAATGTTACAGAAAAATAAATTTTGTCCTATGTGCCAACACATACAACTAAATGCAAAACACTTCTTTCAAAGTACCATCATGTATGATTAAAGGCCAGTACTTAGTCCACAGAGATACAGCTAAAGCCCCCAGAAAGGCTGTCCTCCCCAGAGTCACAGGTTGGTTCTCAAGACATAAATCTTTATATACTGTATGTTTTAGTTGTTAAGAGATATGAGGCTTTCCTTTTTCTTAGAAAGAAAAGGAATATCAACTCTAATTTTCTCTGGGGATCTTAGTCATTAATGCAAATTTGTTGTAAATCATCACACATATAACTAAGGTGCTAATTGTATTTCTATACAAAATGTTAGTTCATAGCAAGTATACACAGCAAGACTACTTAATTTTCCATGTTCAAAATAAATAAATAAGAAGATGTGTTTACTTGTACTTGTACTTGTACTTGTACTTGTACTTAAAGCACTCTCAGTTTTCTGAATATACCGAATAAGAAAACAAAAAGTTTATTTTCTATCTAGTTTCCTTTCCTGAGTAGGTTTTTAGTCTGAATTTCTTTAATGAACAGGCAGACAATCCATTTGTAGACACGCAGTTTTGCAGGTTAAACCTGCAGACTAAAACTATCAGTAGCAGGTACCCCAATTTTTTATGAACAAGGAATACAAAAATGAGTTTCAGAGCTGCCTGGAGTTCCACTGGGCATCAAGATTCATGATGTCACCTGCGGAATGCTCATGGAAAGTAAATACCTCAAGTTGCATTCTGCTTCCTATTACCATGGTAGTCAGAGTTCTAAATTACTTATATTTGCAAGCACTGAGCAAACTCACAGTTACATATTTAAAGATAAAAGCACACCTGGAGCGTCTGTCCTATGCAATTTGCTATAAACAGAATTCCTTCTTCTAGGTCTTGCAAGCTTGGATAAAACTCTATTTTCTGGTCATCAAGAGTCAATTCCATCTTAAACAAAGGCGGGCCATTTCTGTCTTCAGGATCAAAAAGTTTCACATAGGCTTCAACTGTTCTTGTCAACAAGTCTTTCACCTAGGTAATAACATATATCTCCTGTTAGTTAAAAGAAAAGAAACCCCATCCACTTGCCTTCATTCAGTAAATTAGAATTTCCATTCATTTTACAACTTATGCCCTGACTAATGGGTAACTTCAGGACTATGACTTTTTGTAAGGCCATCAGTGGGTACTAGTCCCAACCCCTAAAGGATGTAAACTAATGAACAAGTACACAAACATTTCAGTAAAGCCCATGCATTTATTTTTGCTACAAAAGTCAGTCTATTACTAACACATGCTCTAAGTATAAATGAAATATCTGGAATTTCTGATTTTCCTCTGATTTTTTTTAATATTGTTTCATTATTTTTCCACAAAGTAAATAAAGGTTTAATACCCAAAATACTGCCTTCTTGAACTGCTGAACATAGATATTCCCACTGATTATTACATTCTTACATGGAACGATGTGAACAACAGATGCTCTAACTGGAAGTTAAAGGATTTTTAATTTTCACTGAGAACTTTGAAAAACAATTGACTCAGTGTGAAATCAGTTATTTTCCTGTGAATATTCTTTGTTTATTATTATTAGGAAATAAACCAATTGGAAATCCCCAAAACAACAACAAAAAAATAACTGAGAGACACTTCATATAACTTCCATCTTGATAAAAACAATCAGGGAGGAAAAAGGAAAAATCAACTCAGCACTGTGGGATCATTTTCCACAGAAAAAAGAAATGTATTGGAAACATTGCAGAACTATATCTACTTGCATACATCTGGCAGAGCCAGACTTCAGCCTGCTTGTGTAAGTAAGTTTGCTTTCAGGGGAGAGAGACCAGGTTTTGTTCATTTTGCTAATATATGACATGTAACTGTAGTGCCAAGTTCAGTGATAGGAAGGGGCCTAAGAACACTATTCTTCGATAAGTGAATTACATTCTATTTGGTAAAATGAAGTCATTTTTTGCATCTAAAAAGCTAGAAGAAACAGAAGTAGACAAGATCATGTATTTATTTTAAATGAGGGAAGTTAAAAATATGTAACACTTTGAATACTTTACTGGATCATACGCAAACAGATGGCTAACAATGATTAAACAGGTCCCACATCATATCTTATGCTGACTCATTAAATGCACTGACCTAAATTTCACATTAGGTTTATCACAAAGAAAGATTTTTACCTGATTAGACATAAGAACATCCACACAGTTATAAAAAGAGTCAAGCTGATCCAACTTTACACTATTCAGTGCCTCATTTTGAGTAAAGAGATCAATAACTCTTTGATACCATGTCATCAGTATTTTTTTATCTGCTTTAGAACAGCTTAGAGAGACATCAGTCTTTAAAGATTCATAGTCAATTGGCTCTTTCAGTCTAGAAAAGAAAGTTACACCAACCTTATAAACAAAATTTTAAAACCCATGGAGTAAAGAAACAGTCATCCACATTGTATTAGAAACCCATACTTTTTTTAGCAGAAAGCACAGTGGGAACCTAAGCATCACTTCTGTAGACTTAAATGAGGAAAAAATACCATGAATCCCAGCAAATAATGAACAGTTACCAGGGAAAATAACAAGGAAAAAGATATGGAGAATTATCTTTTTGAAAATAATGCAAAGTTTCAAGATTTAAAATAAAATTCATCTGATGAGAACTGGCAAGAAACCTGATCTTTAGCACAGAATTCCCTACTCAAATCAACTTTTCAAATGCTACTTCAACCAGACTTCTAGAGTGGTCATGGCATTAAAATTAAAAAAAAATAATGAGGAGACCTTTACAGAATGCAGGGACTGGCAGAATGAAGAACTGCTCGCTGGAGGAGAAAATCAGGTATGAGACCATTTAAGGAACCTGAAGGTGCACAAGCCCATGGGATCTAATGAGATGCATCCGCAGGTCCTGAGGGAACTGGCGGGTGAAGCAGCTAAGCTACTATCCATTATATTCGAGAAGTTATGGCAGTGAAGTTCTCACAGACTGGAAAACTGGAAACATAACCCCTATTTTTAAAACGGAAAAACAGGAAGACTCAGGGAACTATAGGCCAGTAAGTCTGACCTTGATGCCTGGCAAAATCATGGAGCAGATTCTTCTTGAAAATATACAAAGGTACATGGACAATAAGGAAGTGACTGGTGACAGCTAACATGGCTTCAATAATGGCAAATCATGACTGAAAAATTTGATGGCCTTCTACATGGCAGTTAACAGCAAGGGCAGATAAGGGAAAAGCAACTGATGTCAAATGCTTTTCACGAGTCCAGGTAGATGATACTGTCCCACACAATACCCTTGTCTCCAAATTGGAGAGGAATGAATTTGATGGATGGACCACTGGTGGACAAGGAATTGGCTGGACAGTTGCATTCAAAGAATTGTGGTCAACAGCTCCATGTCCAAGAGGAGATCAGTGATGAGTGGTGTCTCTCGGGAGTCAGGACGGGGACCAGTGTTGTTTAACATCTTTGTTGGCAACATGGACAGTGGGATTGAGTACACCCTCAGCAAGTTACCAGCTTCAAAATCCTATATGGGTTAATAACTCACCAAAACAGACTTTACCTGAGGCTTGAGAAATTCACTAGAAGAAAGTCAAAGAATGCTGCATATCCAAAATCCAGTAGCGATTTCATTGTGGGGTGGAGAATATGCAACTTGGAAAGGATTTTACTCTTTGCTCGGGTAAAACTCTTATGCCATGCACTAGAAAAATCCAGGCCTCTGAAAAAGAAAAAAAAAACCCACAACCCACAACCAGATAACCAAAACAAACAAACAGAAGTGAAGAGTTCAAATAATATGTGAATAAAACATACAGAAAGTAGCATTAAAAAACTTATTCCCGAATGTGAATAGCTATTTAAGTGCCATACACATATCCTCAATGCGATGCAGTGGAAGCCACAAAAACACTCTGATCAACCATGTGTTACATTCCACAGTATTTTCAGATCACCCACTCTTTCAGTGCAAACTTCTAACTTCACCAACTGCTAAGAGGAAGTATTTATCACCATTATTTAGATGGCATGCATTCTGATGCTTCAGCAAATAGTAGCATTCAGATAATTATATTTTCTCTACTGAATTCCTCCTTTATTTGGGCAGAGCATAATAGCTTTTCCTTCAGTCTAAAGGTTTCACCTCATAACAGGCACATGAAACCTTGCTATTAGATGCAGTTTTAGCATGTTGAAGTACTGTACAATGCTGCTGTCTGCCAGTAAACAGCCCCATACACACACACTTTATACCAGGGATGGCTGCAATATGACTTGAGAGTCTGGGCACTGAGAGCAAGAAGTCTCATTTGCAGTCACTAGTGCTACTCTATGTAACTGTAACAACAGTAACAAAACCCTGTCAGTGCTGAAACTTTGTAAAGCAGTCAGATATAAGATGTTTGAATGCAGACAGAAAAGAACGTCTCATTAAGGGACTCCAGAATTAATACTGTGCCATAATATAATATGGTGTGTTCATGCAGCTCAACAAGAATTTCACTCATGCAACCCAGTGCGCTTTGCCAGTGGGTCAATTTGCTACCTTAATCCACTCACACAGGTAATGAAGGCAAAGGTGCTTCCTCTTCATCTTCAAGTCCTTTTATGTCTGGTTTAATGAGAATACTTCGCACTAGGAGAAAAAATATATGAACATTAGAAGAAAATTAAGCTGCATTCAACAGGTACTGCTTTTCCTCAGTCGTTGACCAGTCATACTCCAGGTTGAACCAAGCACCCAGTAGGATGGAACGGTAACTGTATCATCCAAGTCTTCAAAACATATTCTCCCAAAGGTAACCCAAAATCACAGCTTCTGCGAAATATCCGTTCAGATTCAGATGGCTTAATTCCAGTGCTGTCCCCCATTCATGAAGGTTTTCAAAGAGACCAGTGTTTAAATAATTAAATACTTGAGTGATTTCTTCACCAAGAGGATGGCCGGTCACTGGGACAGGCTCCCCACGAAAGCGGTCACAACACCAAGCCTGGCAGAGTTCAAGAAGCATCTGGACACTGCTCCTAGTCATATGGTTTAGTTTTAGGTAGTCCTGCGAGGAGCAGGGATTTGGACTCGATGATTCTTAAGAGTCCTAACTTGAGACATTCTATGATTCTAAGTTGCAATTTTGTTTAATGTAATGACAGTGGGGCACTATAATTATCCCACTGACGACATTCTGAAGAACTTAATTCCATGTTAAATTGTGATTTTTTTTTAATCTGCGTTTTTAAAAAGATCAACCATCTACCAAAATATTATCAAAATTTGACTCAATTTCAGATACTATAAATGTGAATTAAAGACATTAATACATGATTTCAAGGGAATACACATTCAAAATTCCAGTTAGCAACTCTGGAAAGAAAGTTTATAAACCAAAATGAGTTGTATGAGCAATACCTGAAACCAGCCACTTATCTTTGCAGCTTTCTAGTGTGAGTTTCCTCATGCATAGAAAGCAGCATTAATGTAGTATTATTAGTGCTGTGTAGTTTCTGGTACTTACCCACAAATCTTCTCATGCTCTTTTCATAATCCTCCATTATCTCCACTAGAAGCTTTTCAACCAACAGCTTTCTGTCTTTGCCTTCCATAACTGACTGTGGTACCAATGTGAGCATGGACATCAGCCACAGCTGCTGAATGGGAGTGATGGGATTCCTTAAAACACACTTCTTCAGAAAGAGATAGTTTTCCTGGAAGGACAATATTGTCAGAGGCCTCATAACTGGCTACGTGAATATTTTTGCATTAAGCTTGACAATTCGGTCTCTTTTTATTTACCATTTCTTATATTTAAGGGGAGGTGACACAATCTCATCTTTCAGTACTCACTGACTAGTACCCTAAAAGTTACTCTACGGCTGGGAAAATGGCCTCCCTGCCTCAATTATTAAATATAGAATATAGCAGGTTTTAGTACAGCATTTTCCTTAGTTCTCTGCTGAAGTTTATTGCTGACAATAAACAGTTCAAGGTTACCGTTATTGTTCTTTAGGCAAAACTGTATCTGTCAAAAAGTACACACTAACGGAGTTGGGTATTTTTTTGGCCAAAGGAAAAGATGTTTATGCTTCTGAGTGATAGTTTTCTTATAAAACAAAACATAACAAAACATAATAAAACCTAACATCAGCTAGGAAAAAAGATACAACCATTTCAGTGCTAAACTGAGTTTAACGTGGCTCTCAGAGATCAACTCTTATTTTAAAAGCTATACACAAATTCCAGGATCTGCAGGTGTTTGTCAAATCAGCTGGACAATGTCAAAGACTAAGTTTTCTACAAGCTAAAGTACTGTCTATGACCCCAGTGGAACTAAAAAAATCCTGAAGCCTGTTAGGATTTTTCTAAGTAATGATCTTGAACTACATGATTTTAGAGCCAAACTTCAATTACTAATGGGCATACTTTCTGTAATAGAAAAATACTTTCCTTCCACTGGAACACAAGAAGAGATTCCTCTTTTGCTTCCTATTCCGTTTTTCCCCAACAAGACTACTGAAAAAGCACTTCCTGTTTAACCAACATTAATTGCAGGTAACACACTAATCCTTCTGAATAGAGAACACTCACTCTTCTACTCTAAAAATCAGAAGAATTTAACTCACCCTCTGTTGTTTTAGCTCACTGTTCATCTGTATAAAAAGGAACAGAAAATCCTTACGTGTTAAGAACACACAAACAAAAACAAAAATCAGAAATATACAATTTAACAAATATTATTCTTAAACAAAGACTTTATTCTGTAGATATACAGGTATCAGTTTCAATGGGACTACCTGAGCACATAAATACATTTATAAATTACTAAGGATTGAGATAAATATCTTTGAGTAAGTACTACGAAGTAAGAGCCATAAATGCCCGGATTAACAAAGAACAGGCAACAGTTAAAATATTACAGAAATACTTTCTCACAGTGGAAGGCAGTTCTGGGATAGGAGGTACAGGTTTTCTGTTGAGTTTTTCTTCCATGGACACGTGATAGGCTTTTAAAGCTCGACCAATTCTGAAGTAAAACAGAGAGTCAGGCAGAAAAACTACAAATAATATATTTAAAATAACATTATCACTTTAATTGATGCAACCTGTTTTTTTCATTTACCAGCTCTTTGAGCACTAAGAGGTAAGGCTGCCTTTGCATACTCTGTCTGCTCTTATATAAACAGTCACATTTATCTTGACCATAATCACAATATACACATGCCTTGATTCACCTCATCCAGTTGCTTCTGTTAAGATTATATTTTACTTCCCCCAAAACAACTACAACAGATCTTGTCCAACTGTACTGGGGGAGAGGGGTAAGAAAAGAGTGCAGAACAAAACTCCCAAAGGTGGTGATTTTAAGACCAGCTCATTTTTTACTGCCTGTGGTTACAAACTGCTAAATACCTATCAGAAAACTTTAAATGGTTAATGGTGGCACATCCTGCCGACCTTGTGCATTAAAATGTTTCAGTCCATTCTTTTGGGATACACATACCTGTACATCTCTTGCCAGGATTTCAGCCTTATCTCAATATAACACAACTGAAAAGTCCCAAGCGGAAGTTAGCCTGCCAATTTCAAGTATACACTCAAATCAAATCACTACTTCAGAGGACCTTATTTGAAAGACAGTTCACTGTACAAAAATGTAACTGAATCAGCGTTCCAGCAGAATATTCACTGTTTGTCAGCACTTTACTGTACAGCAATTCATGACTACAACATAGCTGATATTTTCAGCATAATGAACATCTGCATTCTACAAACTGCACTCTGCTTCTGCAGGTATCATTGAAAAGTCAGAATTTACTTTCCAAGTGCTAAAAAGACTTCTTGTATGTTAGATTTGTATTATAACAGCCTTTAAACTATTAAAAGAAAGCAAACACACATCTCTGTTTTTAACTTACATATATATTAACTGCTCTCTATAACTGAGTGTTGCTACCAGCATTTACATCTCTTCTGTAATCAATTCTTCTCAGACTTCAGTCCCACAACTTAGTCTTATACGTCTGCCTAGCTCCAGTGAAGCAAACAATTACGGACACATAGAAGTATCTTCCAACAAAAAAAACCCTGTAATACTTGGCCATGTAAAAGTTTAGCCACTGAAGCGGAATATCAATTGTGTATCAATTAGTTAAGTAACTGGTTAACTGGTTACCATCACCAAAACTAGTAGCAGCAAATGGAATCACTAACAACCCACACCAATAAAAATAAAAGTATTGAAGTAACAGTATTTCAAATAGGTCAAATTAAGACTTATGTATGTAGATCTTTTAATTTTCATTTCTTCTTCAGAAGACCGAAACATTTTTTCTGTGCTTTTTAATCCTATCAAATACCATTAGATTTCCTTCCCTTTTTTAATCCATTACATGAAAATGCAAGCTGCTATATATTTCATAGTACTACTATAAACAGTGCAACCTTAGCCCACATAATCCTCTCACATTTATGCGAAGATTATCAACATGTCTTACTTTTTCAGTAAGTTCCTGAGAATAATGTAGGTATCTCAGGAATAAAGTTCTATCAAAATAATAAAACCAAACCAAACCCCTGTTTTTCTAGCAGGCCTAACAAGTATGTGAAAGCAGCCTTTTCCTACTGTCTTTCCTCCTTTCCAAATGAAAATCTTGAAAGACAATTTTATGTGAATTTACCAAGATGGGCAGCTGGGCTCCTCTGGCAGTGACCCAGATCACTAAGCTCAGTGGCAAATGCATTAAGATAGTGATAGTGCCAACTAAGTTGTTAGAAGTAGACCCACATTTGGGTCATTCATACAAAAGCAAGCAAGTGATCCAGCCGTTGATTCTCTTTGAAAAAGGTTTTCATAAAGAGAAAGGATTTTTTTTCAGACTATCATAAACAACATTCAAAATGTGAAGGTTGCTTTCTGCTCACAACTCACCCCAACAAACATCTCAAGCAGATGTTGGGTGCTGTAAAAGAAAAATCATCAGAGATTCCATCAAATGTTCTTCTATTAATGATTTTAGATGGAAAGTGATCAGCACTGCGATAGTGACATCAAAAACCTCTAAAATTAACAAACACCATTATTTCTTAGATGTCAAATGTACTGATTCTTTGATTTGAATTTCGGTATTTCTTGAATTCCATCGAACTCACAGTAACTGATTAAGCCTCTTTTGCTGCTCTTTGCATCTTCGGTATGACAATAGTTTATTCTGTGATGGTGACATATCAGATGTGGATGATGAAGGTAGAACAGTAGGAGGAAGCAAAGGTCTCAAAGTCTTACGGGGATGTGCTCCATCTGACTGCAACATCTAAAACCGTAACAAAACCAAGATTGTAGAATACAATTAATCCTGTCCAGAAAGCAGTTTAACAGATGCATGTACTAGTACTAAGTACTAAGAGATTTCTACAATCTAAGAAAGTTTAGCTTTCAGAAAACAGAAAACCTCTGTATATGCTAATATATGTATATTCAAAGTCCGCAATAGTAGAAAATGATGGTGCTGTTCTATTAACTCGAGATTAGCATGTTGCATCAAAACAAGGTTCTATTACAAATCTCTTCAACTGCTAATCTACCAGCTGTGCATAGTACAGAAGACACCAGAATAGCAGCTTGTTAATTCTTCCCCACTGGCAAACTGCACTGAACTAGCTCTGATGTAGGCACATTTCCTTTTCTGATGGGGCCCAGCTGTTCCTGTGGCTTCAGCAGGTGACTATTGACTCCCTTTTTGTCTGGTCACTAAAAATACAGTTACTGCCTCATTAAGTCCATGATGCTAGGTAATATGAACAAATTCAGACACAAAGGCAGAGCAGGGCATAATTTCATTTCAATTGCCTGTCTGGAAACCAGAGCTACCAGAACAAGTGCCTCTGCAAATACCAAGAAGATGCTTGACAGTACTTTAAGCTGCAGCAACTCTAGGCTTTCTAGGTAATATTCACTTAAAGTACGTCAACATGTGCGTCTTCTTCAGAACCAAGGCTGAATTCAGCGAAGACTAAACTGAGATTACTAAAATGAAAGAGGCAAGCAAGGTGCTAACACGGCTGAGGGTATGTGGCTAAACCCTGTCTTGTGGGTGCAGATTCGCAGTGAAAAGGTGGCTTGTAATTCGGTGGGATGGATATGGGATTCCAGCTAAGTAGATGGAAGTTTTGATTATGAGCACATTTGTGAGGTAGCTGAGCTGTGCAACAGCAAAGTGGAAACAGGTATGGCCTTGAAGTAAGAATCCTAGTCGGGGGGTAGGATAAATATGTGGAGCAGATAATTGGGTAACCACACTTAAAGACAGTGAGCAACCAAAGTTTGATAATCACCTTGTATAAATACAGAAAAATAGGGGGAAGATGGGGAAGACAGGGAAGAGAAGGAAAATAAAAACGTAATGTGTGACATAGTCTCATCTTTCAGCACTCACTGACTAGTACCCTAAAAGTTACTCTACAGTTGGTAAAATGGCCTCCCTGCCAACATAATAAAACCTAACATCAGCTAGGAAAAAAGATACAACCATTTCAGTGCTAATCTGTGTTTAACGTGGCTCTCGGAGATCAAGTCTTATTTTAAAAGCTATACACAAATTCCAGGATCTGCAGGTGTTTGTCAAATCAGCTGGACAATGTCAAAGACTAAGTTTTCTACAAGCTAAAGTACTGTCTATGACCCCAGTGGAACTAAAAAAATCCTGAAGCCTGTTAGGATTTTTCTAAGTAATGATCTTGAACTACATGATTTTAGAGCCAAACTTCAATTACTAATGGGCATACTTTCTGTAATAGAAAAATACTTTCCTTCCACTGGAACACAAGAAGAGATTCCTCTTTTGCTTCCTATTCCGTTTTTCCCCAACAAGACTACTGAAAAAGCACTTCCTGTTTAACCAACATTAATTGCAGGCAACACACTAATCCTTCTGAATAGAGAACACTCACTCTTCTACTCTAAAAATCAGAAGAATTTAACTCACCCTCTGTTGTTTTAGCTCACTGTTCATCTGTATAAAATCCTTACGTGTTAAGAACACACAAACAAAAACAAAAATCAGAAATATACAATTTAACAAATATTATTCTTAAACAAAGACTTTATTCTGTAGATATACAGGTATCAGTTTCAATAGGACTACCTGAGCACATAAATACATTTATAAATTACTAAGGATTGAGATAAATATCTTTGAGTAAGTACTACGAAGTAAGAGCCATAAATGCCCGGATTAACAAAGAACAGGCAACAGTTAAAATATTACAGAAATACTTTCTCACAGTGGAAGGCAGTTCTGGGATAGGAGGTACAGGTTTTCTGTTGAGTTTTTCTTCCATGGACACGTGATAGGCTTTTAAAGCTCGACCAATTCTGAAGTAAAACAGAGAGTCAGATGTGCAGAAAAACTACAAATAATATATTTAAAATAACGTTATCACTTTAATTGATGCAACCTGTGTTTTTTTCCATTTACCAGCTCTTTTTCATTTCTATAAATACAGAAAAATAGGGGGAAGATGGGGAAGAGAAGGAAAACAAAAACTTAGTGTGTGACTGGACTCAGGTTCACTAAAAGACTGTCCTTCCATGGCATCTCAAGTCTTGCTTGTGGCCGAGTATGGCTATCCCAAAAGCTTGACAGCAGGGTTACCCTGGAAACACGATGCACAAACTGACAACTGCATTTCAACAGGTTCTCACAGAGGAGAAGAAAGACAAAGCCACTTCCTATATTAGCAGTATGTCCTAAAAATGAATTAAAACACGCGGTAGTGGAGGCACCCGAATAAATAAAGCTCAAAGGGAGACGAGGCCCTACCACGTTTTCCTAGAGCTCTCTCAGCCCAGCAGAGCCCGGGCGTGTGGAGGGATGAGGAGCGGCAGCCCCTGCCATCTCCCCGCCGCTCGCCCGCCTGCTCCACCTCACCTCACCTCACCTCACCTCACCTCACCTCTCACCTCACCTCACCTTTGCCGGTGCCGCGGTCGCGGGGGATCGCCAGGCACGATGGCGGCGCGCAGCCCGCTCGGGACAACAACACGGTTGCCAGGCAGCGGAGGGCGGGACCCGACCCGCCCGCCCCCTCAAGCCCTCAGCGCCTTGTCGCTCGGGACCCAGCCGGACCCGCCCTGCCTGGGGCCGCGGTCTTTGTGCTGGCGGGCTCCTGCTGCCCAGAACGGAGCTCTCATTCGACACCCGTTTGTTCACAGAAGGGTGTTTGCCGCGCTCCGTGCAGAACCAGACTACGGGTAGGCTCTTGTGATGAGAAAAAGAAAACAGCAGCAGAGACTTTTTAGTCTGCCACAGGGCTTGCTACAACCCAAGGAAGTCGGTGAGTGTCTTTGCTCCAGCGTTGTCTGCACAAAGCAGATACAAACTTTGCTCCGGAGGGCAGCACGAATGCCTAAGGAATCACACCACCATCACGCAACAGGCAGCTACTGCTGAGCTTCTAGTAGGCTGCTACTTTATAAGGAATCCCGGAGACTGACTATCCATTTGCCCACATTTGACTTGAAACCCGAAACTCCTCATTTTGTACCTGCGTGGCAGTGCCCCACAAGCAGAGGCCGCAAGAACAGCTTGGAGAGAATTTCAGATGCGGTTTCGGGAGCACTGGGCACCTTCCTCACACATTCTCACAGCACAGGACTGTTCAGTCTGAAGTTTCAAACTAGACACGAAATACCTTCTCACAGACGACAAACCCAACCCCTTTGATACCTAGGGATTTACGCAGAAGCCGTTCGCACCGAGTTACGTGGGAGATCGATCCCCTTTCCCGGCTGCCGCTTACAGGAGGGGGTGAGGGCTTTCCTGAGGGGACGGGATGTGGCTGCTGAGGGGACAAACCCCGCGGTTTATGCCAGCAGCTTCACCTAGACGGTGCAGAAGGGTTACGTGCTGAGAACGGGGCCAAGCACGCACCAGACAGGCAAGGCGGATCGCGCCTCCCGCTGCCGCCGCGGGGCCGCCCCTTCAGTGAGGCACCGCCCTCCTGAGGCTGCGCGGAGCAGCCCCGTGCACTTCCCCTGCCTTCCGGCCGTCGCTCGCGGCCCGTCGTTTCCGGGCGCAGGTTGCGGAAGCCGCGGCTCCATGTGGCGCCGGCTGCGCTCCGCCCTCGGGAGGCTCCTCGCGGCGCCCGCCGCGCCGCCCGCCATGGAGCGGGCCGTGGTGCGGTGTGTGCCCTCCGAGCCTAAGCTGACGCTGCGGCTTGTGCTCCCCGACGGCAGCGCCAGGCACATGCAGCGGGACAAGGCGGAGCCGCTGGGCCGGGTGCTGGCCCGCATCGCCGCCAACACCGCCAAGGGTAACGCCAAGGCGGCGAAGAAGAGCAAGAAGGCGCGGGCGGCGGGTTCCCCGGCCGAGGAGGCGCCGGCGGAGGCGCCGGCCGTGCGGCTCTTCTCCTGCGATGGGGAGGTGGTGGCCGAAGAGGTGCCCAACGCGGCGGCCTGGCAGGACGGCGCCGTGCTGCACATCGGGGAGGCGCGGTACCGTGTGGAGCGCAACCGGCCCGCACTCACCGAGCTCCGGCTGCCGCGCTCGCTGCTGGCCGGCTTCCCCGTGTGCCCCAAGGTGAGCACCGAGTTCGCCGCGCCACAGCACTGCCTCTTCCGCTGGTACCGCGAACAGCGGCCCTCGGCTGGCGGGGAGGCGGCGGCCGGTGATGGCCCAGACTGGGTTGAGACGGCGGTCGTCGAGCGCGTTTTCATCCCCTCCAACGCGCTGGTGGGGCTGCGGCTGAAGCTGCAGTGCACGCCCGGGGACGGGGCGCAGCGGTACGGGCTGCCCCGCGAGGTGGAGAGCAGCGGCCCCGTAGAGGCTGGTCCTGGCGCCTGCATCTTCGACTCCCGGCACGCCTACACCAGGAAGGTCTGCGGAGAGGGCTCCGTCCGCACCGTCACCTACAACATCCTGGCCGACATCTACGCCCAGACGGAGTACTCCCGCACCGTGCTCTACCCGTACTGCGCCCCGTACGCCCTGGAGCTCGACTATCGGCAGAACCTGCTCAAGAAGGAGCTGGCGGGATACAGCGCCGACCTCATCTGCTTGCAAGAAGTGGATAAATCCGTCTTCGTGGACAGCTTGGCTCCAGCTCTGGATGCTTTTGGGCTCGAAGGGCTGTTCAAGATTAAGGAGAAGCAGCACGAAGGCCTGGCCACTTTCTACCGTAGGGACAAGTTCAGCCTCCTTAGCCAGCATGACATAGCTTTCAGCGAAGCCCTGCTCTCAGACCCAGTGCACAAGGTGTTGTGTGATAAGCTGGCCAAGTACCCCTTGGTGCAGGAGAAGGTGCTGCAGAGGTCATCTGTACTGCAGGTGCCAGCTTTTACATGCATTCTTTCTTTCTCCTACTGCTTCCAGGAAGTTGCAGCCAAGTTAGGCTTGTTGAGTGTCAGATCAAGGAGAAGGGAGGTGAGGAAGAAACAACGTTAAACATAAATAGAACAGTGGTATATTCTGTGTTAGCTAGATACAGCAGAAGAGCAACTTAGGACCAAGAACAAAATACTGAGTCTTTACTGAACTGGATATATGGCATTACCAAAATTTGGTAAAAAAGGCAGAACTGCTCACTTTCAGATGAAGACAGCAGTTGAGATTCTGGACCACGATTTGAGCCCATGTTGGTGGTATTAGCTGCCAAGTTTTTCACTACTTACTCTCCTATGTCAGCATATATATTCATAAACTTTGTAAATGAGTTCTAAATGAGAATCAGCTTGCTTTAATAGTGGCATTTGTGACAGTAGGGAGAGAAATAAGGTTGGACAGGTTTGTGAGCTTGATTCCAGAGGGTCTGCCAGCAGAACTAGTCTGTAAATACAGCTGCGTAAGCTACAGGTCTGTGTCCGGGATTTCAGAAACACTCATTGGTAAAAGCTTCCTATTCGTGGGCTGAGTAGGAGTAACAAGATTTCCTTGATAACTGAAATGGCCTCTAAATTTATGTTCAGTTGAACTGTGCAGTACTACAGTTTGCTTGCTAAAACCAGAGGTGGGAGAATAGAAGATAAAAGTCAAGAATACTACAGTGTTAGCAACATCTTATGACAAAATATGGAATGGATAGAAGCAAAAAATAAGCCGAACCAGACACTTATGGGCAAAACAACATTTGTCAAATACCTGGATGTATTGGCTGATACCCAGACTTTATATAGAAGATAAATAGACTCAACTTAGGAGCTGTATTATTGAGTAGTTATAAGTATCAGATTCTTCAACTGGATTGTCACAAAGAAATAGGATAACTATTGCATTTTTAAAAATGTGTAACCTAACCTCTGTAGTTAAGCCTTACCAATAACTGCTTTTTCTCTTGAAGGTTTCAGTTCTTCAGTCTACAAGTGATCCTTCCAGGAAGATTTGTGTAGCTAATACCCATCTATACTGGCACCCAAAAGGTAATTTTGTCATGTTCCTGTATGTGGGATAACTGGGTTTGTAAAGGTTTTTGTCCTTCCCAGGGAGATTGCCCCCCATTTTTTGCAGCTATAACCTTTGCTGCTTATCTACATGAATCAAAGCCAGGCTGCTAGATCTATTTATTTTCCTTAGAGCAAGATTGTTCTCATCTCCCTGGGAGTCAGAATACAGCTGAGAACAAGACAAGCTGTGTTACACACAATGCACCCAAAGAGTAGACCATAAAACACAGCTGGTGTCGTGTGTGCTCATGGCTTCCCAGACCTATTGTACCTGAGGTAGCTATCTTGGCTTATTGCCAAAAGAGCAACCAGATTGGGCTATGGAAGCTTTTAGAAGAGATTCTTCTTTAAATTTCATTTTCTTATGGTTCTGTGTTTTTTGGGAATATCATTAGGTTTGTTGCCATGGCCTGGAAAGCTGCTGTAATATGGGGTGTTGAAGGTTCAGAGTTCATGCATGTGCAAGTTTAAATTAAAACATTGTCTGCCTTTCCAAAACTTTCATAGTCATAAACTTCAAAAGCTTCCTTATGAAAACTTCTAAAATGTAGTGCACAGAAAATTTAAATGAGGTGTTTTGGAGCTACATATGATATGAGCAACTTGGGAAAGCCCTCCTCTGCTTCAGTGACATATTTAAAGTAATATGTTTTTATGTTCTTAGGTGGGCACATCCGTCTTGTCCAAATTGCTGTAGCCTTGTCTCACATCAAGCATGTAGCGTGTGACTTGTATCCAAGTATACCAGTCATTTTCTGTGGAGATTTTAATAGTACACCATCATCTGGAACTTACAGTTTCATTAACAGCGGTAGCATTGCCGAAGATCACGAGGACTGGGTTTCAAATGGTGAAGAAGAAAAGTGCAATATGCCTCTAAGCCATCCTTTCAAACTGCTAAGTGCTTGTGGAGAACCTGCTTACACAAACTATGTTGGTGGGTTTCATGGATGCCTGGACTACATTTTCATTGACAGGAATTCCCTAGAGGTTGAACAGGTCATTCCATTGCCAAGCCATGAAGAAGTAACAACCCATCAGGCTTTGCCAAGTGTTTCACATCCTTCTGATCATATAGCACTAATATGTGACTTGAAGTGGAAATAAAGTGTATGGTGCTTTTGGTGGTTTTCAAACAAGAAATTTAATGCTGGGGAATTGAGGCTGCACCCTGGCTTGATGCTACTAAAACGAAATTCAGAATGATCACTGAAAAGTTCCTGTGTTTAATGGTTTTACTGAATATTATCAGACTGTTCAGAATATTTGCATGACAACTTTTTCCTTTCCCTTTTTATATGCTAATAAGAAAAAATATATTTAAAACAGGGGGGGTTGAAAATTGGATTATCATACACATTTTTACTTGAGCTTTTAAAGGATTAAGAATTTTTTTGAAAAAAAAATACATAAACCTGATGTAGGAGGGTCCAAACTCAACCCTGCTTAATTCAGAACCAAAGGCAGAACATGAAAATAAAAGGGTTTGGTTGCTTCAGCCTCAGTGTAATTACTGTCATGAGAAGAGAGTTTTTAAAAGCTAAGTTAAGTTCAGAAATTCTCTTTCACTTACCGTAACTGTAGCCAAATTTTCTGTTAAGTGGCATGAACAATGTACATGCACCTACTACCTTCTGGAAAGCTGTTCTTTAAATTACCAGTGAGTAGGCTTTCTGTCAACAGTCAGCCATGTTACATTCAAGGTTATAGCTGATTTGGAAGTGTTGTGCTTGCCCACTTCATGTTGGGTAGTGAGGGTAACTAGCACCTGGTAAAATTGGACTGCTTCTACTGTGAACATCTGTTCCTTCTGTTGTTTACAATCACTGGCAATGAAATAAATACAAAATCTTAGGACAGCCAGCTCTGGATGGGAGGGAAGTCTTTAATATCATTGACAAGCAGGGGCGAGATACAGAATAGCTGATGTGGTGCATTAGCTGTATGTGCCTAAATCTTTAAAATGACTTGCAAACCTTTATCACAATTCTGTTTTGTTGCTCTATTGCATACAAAGGTGACCTGAATTTTTAGTAGGGTTTGTATTTGCATTTTTTACCTTCTAGAAGGATTCTGGTCGTCTTTAGGAGATAACTTGGATGTGGGAGATGTATTTTATGCATACCTTCACTGAATGTGTTGGAAGGGTTTAACTATTTAACCAGCTTCTTTCCCTGCATCCATTAGTCCATATGGAAAAAACAATTTCAAAACCATTTTACAGGATCTCCCTCCTTCCCTGAATAAAGTTCCCTTTTCAATTGTCTGTGTTGTCAGTTGATTCTTTTCCTAGTTACTGGTGTCATTCATAGCAAAACAAGTCCACCCAGGTTGACAAAAACTATGTACCCTGTCTTTGCACAACTATTCACCTCCACTGCATTCTGGTGGCTGTAGGGTATGGCTGGGATTCACTAAACTGTTTATATACTACTAAATCTAAGCAGTCGCTGTTCCATAGA